GTGTGTGTGTGTGTGTGTGTGTGTGTGTGGAGGCCTTAATACGAATCTTCTCCTGAAAAGCAGGTTAATCCCTCATGCCCCACCCCGCATGTGGATCAAATCACATTGTTCAACTTCAAAACAGGTGGCAAACTCGAGGCCAAGGGGGCAAGAGCTGGCCTCGCCAAAGCAAAATAAGTGCCAAGTTCACTTCACGTTTCTTGCAAAATGGGCTAGGTCCTTTCATTTTGGCAGAAATGTTGCTTTTTTTTTTTGCATCCATTTTAATTTATTATTATCCTTTTTACCAAGTATCTTTATGAACATAAATTGAGCACACACTTTTCCCGACATCTTGTGAATTCAATAATCATGCAAGGCCAATTGTGTATTTGCAATTGGCTAATAAGAAGATAAGATAAGAAAACCTTTATTAGTCTCGCAATGGAGAAATTCCCAATTCACAGCAGCAAAGTTATGAAAGGAAGAAGTAGTGAGATGATGATTACATATTTATGATTTTAATCGTGGTCACCGGTGGGCGACTGGTTAGCGCGTCGACCTCACAGTGCAAAGGTCGTGGGTTCCATCCCAGCTCCGGCCCCACCTGCGTGGGGTTTGCGTGTTCTCTCCGTGCCTGCGTGGGTTTTCTCCGGGTACTCCAGTTTCCTCCCACATTCCAAAACCATGCATGGCAGGCGGATTGAACACTCAAAATTGTCCCTAGGTGTGAGTGTGAGAGCAGATGGTTGTTCGTCTCTGTGTGCCCTGCGATTGGCAACCGGTTCAGGGTGTACCCCGCCTACTGCCCAAAGACAGCTGGGATAGGCTCAAGCACGTCTATTGAACTTCGTGAGGATAAGCAGATTGGAAAATGGATGGATGGATGGACGGATTCTCATAGTCATAACCACCCTCTAAGAGAAACATGAACCATGATGTCTCTCGTGATAAAAGTGAATGTGGCAGCCCTAATCGGAAATCATGTGGGTAGCTCAGTTGTGAAAACACAACCAAATTTCCCTTGACTTTAAGAGGACGTCTGCTTTGTCACACTCATTGCTGAACTTGCTTGTGGGAATGCTGCGCATAAAAAGCTTGCCAAGCTCTCCATCTGTTGGATGACTTTGATAAATACCTGCTCGTCTTTTTTTTTGTTTTCAGACATGTGCTGTGTGCCATCTGCCCACTTATTAAAGTACAAACGTGCACAATTTCTCTTTACAACTTTTCTCTTTGAAATACTAATGTTGGCTTAAAATGGAATCATTAAAAATGATGTGGCTTGTGCAATGTTAATAAAATACAATTCACTGTTTTAAATGTGCACTTTGCGCTCCTCACTTTGTAAAATGAGCATGAAGAATGACAACAACAGAAAAAAAGCAAGATATTCCTTTCCACAGGCTTCAAGATTCAGATTCAAGAATGATTCATGGCTTATGTGTTGTGTCTTGTGCCAGTTAAAACATCCTGTTTTGGCATTAAAATATATCGATGCAATATGACATGACACAAAAAGGGGTGCAGTAATCATTTGCTAATTTTGCATTATTTTAATTTTTGATGGCAAAGCCTTCTCCAAAGCTAGCTAGTCAGCCTTTTTTTTGGTACTCATATGTTTAGAACACAGGCGCCTGGAAAAGAGCCTTGCAATACATCATCCTCACCAGTAGAGGGCATAACAACAACCGGCAAAGAGGCGCTCAAACCTTCCAAATCTGCCTTCCTTCTTCCTCTTCCGGTGACGGCGATAGCAGGTATGGCGGCCATGGAAACTCTGCTAAATTGCCGTTTGTAAATCTGTTTTAATCCGCCGCACATATGGGTTTACAATCGACTTCATGATACAGTGATATTAAGAGTACGTTGACCCTCTCGTTTATGTGATCATTTTTCTATTCGGCAGCTTGGGAGTTTTATTTTCAATGCAATACAGCGTGAGGCCACTGCCGGTTCGCATCATTGAGCCTTTGCTGTAGCAACAAGCCAAGTCTGGTGGAAACGTTTTAAGTCGCGTTTGTGTTCCAAATGACTCTTTCCATAGGAGATTCCCGTAGTTGTTGTCGTGACATTTGTTACGCCGACGAACGCGCTGGCCATTTTAACGCTACTGTTTTGTTTTGGCAGCTAGAAAATGGTGCAGCGCCTGACTTACCGACGTAGGCTGTCCTACAACACAGCGTCCAACAAGACCAGACTGTAGGTACCCACTGCGTTTTAGTGTTTGCGACCCCTTGTGCAGCCGTGTAACGTCCGCTTGACGTGTCTTGCAGGTCCCGGACGCCTGGTAACCGCATCGTGTATCTGTACACCAAAAAGAGGGGCAAAGCACCCAAATCGTCATGCGGCATCTACCCAGGAAGACTGCGTGGAGTAAGTAGAAGGAAACATGCCAGAGCTGCTGCGTGACTTTGATACCTTGTGTAGGTTCTTATTTGGTGGCCCGTTCTTCCCAGGTCCGGGCTGTGAGACCTCAGGTTCTCAAGAGGCTCTCAAAAACAAAGAAGCACGTTAGCAGGGCTTATGGAGGCTCCATGTGCGCCAAGAGTGTGCGTGACAGGTAAAAAAAAAAAAAGAAAAAACACAGTTTAAGGGGCTGGGGGGTCACTTACATAAATTAAAATAAACATCTCACCTTTTTCTAGGATCAAGCGTGCTTTCCTGATTGAGGAGCAGAAGATTGTCGTCAAGGTGCTCAAGGCGCAAGCACAGAGCCAGAAGTCTAAGTAAAATATCTGTCTGTTGTGCCACAATAAATAATAAAAAAAAAAAACACAAAAAGATTGTGTGAGTTGAACTTTTTTTTTTATTTTATTAAGTTGCAACTTGATGTGTACTGTACCTCGTGGGATCCTGAAGGGGTACATTAATGACACACAAGTTCATTGAATTAAAAAAAAAATTCTTTGATTCCAGTAGAATTACCTATTCAGGCATGTACATCGGTTGCACATGACTAAAATGTGTTAAAGTAACGTAATTTGAATTTTTTTTTTTAAAAAGTGTAGAAAATTACATCAAGTACTACATTTTAATGATGTGCAACCAAAAGTTACTTTTTCCCCCCCCTCAGTGTACTGTTCAATACACTGCATTTAATGTAAACAAAACAGTTTCTTTGTGTACTTATAAAAGGGTTAAGGAGGACCACTGTTATAAAAGGTCCACTTGTTTTCATTGCTTTTTGGCAGTATTGTCCAACATTGGCCATAAAATACATTTTTGTTATGAACTCCAGCGGTTGTCAAACTCCTTTTCAATTCATGTATTTGGAAAAATAGCAAACAGTACACACATCTGGGGGCCAGTGTGCCACTAAAAACATAACACCTTACGTTACTAATAAAATATCTGACATGAGCATGTACACTGAAAAATTTGTTTAATTTCATTTTATTTCACCAAGCGGTTGCATAAAATAAAATCCAGATCCAGATACATTTATTACGTAGATTTATAGTTTCTGGATTCAGATGATTATATTTCGTGCAACAGCTCGACGAAATATTGAGTGAATTCAAAAACTTGAAGCGTGGCATACTTGTGCGTGCAAACACTATTTCTCACTAGCAATCGTGATACATACATAGTTGCATATTACTCAACCCAATTTCATTTGGTTCAGTTACTTTCTACGAAAAAATGTGATGCAGAAAGGCAAAAGTGAACTAAACTTTTTTTTGCGCAAAAGAGAAAAACGTCACTCGCTAACTTCCGGGACACGTCACCAAATGCTTCCGCGACGTCAGGCAGCAACAGCAGCAAGCGGAACGCCAAACTTAGCCTTGATTTTTTCGGAAACGCGATGGAGACTTTGTACAGCATCCCGTTCACTGTGCTCGAATGTCCCAACGTGAAGCTGAAGAAGCCGTCTTGGCTGCACATGCCGTCGGCCATGAGCGTCTACGCGCTCGTCATCCTTTCCTACTTTCTCATCACCGGAGGTGAGGCTGGCGACTTACCGACTCGCAAACTCCACAGACAGGCGACACAACACAACACATTGCAGCGCAGTGGTCGTGTTCAAACATAAAATGAGGCAAGTGCTGCCCAGCGTGTGGATTTTGCCTCAAAAGATGGAAAGGAACCAAGCTAACCGAGCTAGCATTAGCTGCCAATTAGTGCAGTAAAACGGCCGACTGAAAATGTGTTGTTGGCATACCTTTACTCGTTTCATTGGCTTGAAGACATTTTCTAATGGATAGAACTTCGTAGTTAACTAATGGGAAAGAGTACGGGCTCGCCCTTAATGACGTCTCGGCAGTCGCATAATTTCAACGTCACTCGCGGACAGTCGGCAACCTTTTTTGTTTGCTTTTGGGTGCGTGTGCGTTTTTAAAATTCCAAAATGCAGAAGCCATAACAGTAGTCAATAAAAAGCAATTGTAGTCATCAGTCGAAATACGATATATAATTAAAAAAAAATAGAGCAGTCAGTCAATATAACGATAAAGAAATACAGATGATATGACTATAAAGGAGTTACAAGGGCAACGATAGAAAAATGTTATGCTACAACATGTTATGGGCTTAAAAGTTGAGATCGACACCTATAAATTCACCTTCAAATCTATATTGTTCTCAGAGCCTTTTTTTTGTAATAACACTTAATAGAGCGAATGTATTTTCTAAATTGGTAAAAGAAATGTTTTCATTGAAATATATTGCAAAATGACTTAATGGCCGTACATGTTGTGTTGTTGCTCTACTTGAAATTTATTGAGGTATTTTTCATTATTAAACCTTTATTTAAAAGACCAGATTAGACAGAGCATCTTTACTAATGGTGACGTGGCTGAGAAGACAGCAAATTAAAGCATTTGTAAAACATAAATTAAAAACTCATGCAAACAGGGAAACATCAAAATATTGTGACATTGTCAAAATGACCAAATATGAACAGTTTGTGGAAACTCTTTCAAAAAAAATATGCAATAAAATGGGACTGTAAAGCTTGAACCGTGATATAGCTCAGGATAATGGAATGTATGTTTGTCTACTACCCCCTGTGTTCTAATATTGGTCATGACATGCTACATGGAGATCAAAGTTTTGTTTATTTTTTGAGGGGCTACTTGGTATAAAAAGTGTATTTTCGCTGAATTATTTCAAGCGGTGATTTTTTTTTCTTGCCAGGTATCATCTATGATGTGATTGTGGAGCCGCCGAGCGTGGGCTCGATGACGGACGAGCACGGACACCAGCGACCGGTGGCGTTTCTGGCGTACAGGTGAGCGTATTGCCCCACCTTGGCACTATGACGCAAACGATGCGAGCGTCTTTTGTGCCTTCTGCAGGGTGAACGGCCAGTACATCATGGAGGGCTTGGCGTCCAGTTTCTTGTTCACCATGGGAGGCCTGGGCTTCATCATCCTCGACCGCTCCAACGCGCCCAACATCCCCAAGCTTAACCGCTTCCTGTTGCTCTTCATCGGCTTCGTCAGCGTCATCCTCAGCTTCTTCATGGCCCGAGTTTTCATGCGCATGAAGTTGCCGTAAGTCTCCGGAAACGTTGACTGTTTGCGACCATTCTGTCCTGTTTGGCTCACTGCTTTTTTTTTTCCCTCTCACTAGGGGATATCTCGTGGGATGAATTCAACTGTGGATGATCTAATTCATCTGGACTGAAAGCACTGACATTGCTGCAGAAATTATTAAAAGTGATAAACAACCAGCATTGCAAATGAAACATGAAGTGGGATTTTTTTGTAATTAAATTTTTTGTTACACAGTCCTGAAATAAAGCTGTTTTCCGAAGCTCTCGCGGTGGTAGAAGTTGATTGAGGAAAAATCCCGACCGAAATAACTCACCCGAACACCACGTGATTGCATAATGCTGCATTTAATGACTCTAAAGCTTTCATTCACTTCATTGAGGGTGAGAAAGAAGCACGAGAGTCACTCACAAATACAACATCTCAAGAGGAACATATTGCACGAGTCATTCCCTCAAATGTGCATGCTGCTCTTCAGAGCACCCCCCCCAAAAAAAAAAAAAAATCCTCCTTATAGGAGTCTTTGGGTGGCTTTTGCCTCATGACACGCTGAGCGCACATCCCGCTGTTCCTCACTTCAGAATTCTTTAAGCTGATGTCCTAAAATGTCCTGTCGAGTCAACTCCTTCAGCACCAACAAGTCAACGCACCGCTCATGTTAACTTGCATTTTCCATGTTGCATACTTGACTAGGTCAAGTCCTAAAAATACCATATTTACCCGAGAAGGCTTTCCTCTCAGTTTATCGTCCTTTTTCTTTTGCTTGCTCAGTCACACGATGCCTTGACACCTTGTTTGCCAAGCTGCTGCGATGGCGATGCAAAGCGTGTTTATCCTGCGCGACCTGAAGCAAAGAAAAAGGTGTTATCTTGAATTATATCTACATTAACCCCGCCCCCTCCCAGTTGGTTCACTGTTGAAGATTGTCGTGTTGATGGTAAGAAGTAGTTCCCGCGACGTATGAAATGATCTTTCTTTCTGTAGTATCCCTTTCTTTTATTGACGTCATTCTTACCATTCACTGCATTGGCGGTGTTCAAACCGGTGGCTGCTTCAATTTCTGTGTGAGGTAAAGGGAAAAAAAAAAAAAAAGTACAACGCACTGAGAATTCTCAAAATGTCATGATGAATTTTTTGGAAACAAAAAAAAAAAAAACGTTTTTGTGTGATTTCACCAAGAGAAAATCCGGCGTAAAAATTGGAGTACTCACAAAGAGGCTTTCAGGTGAAAGTAATCGAAAATGTTAAAAGTTTTTGACCTTTTTGATTCATCCACAACTCCGGGAAAATATTTCGGATTTGCTGACAAATTTCTGCCATTAGGCCGATACTAGCCTTATTTCAGTGTATCGAGTTATCACGAAAGGAGCCGATAACAGCCATAAATACTTGACTTGTCGTGAATTGTTTTTTGCTGAATTCATTTGTTCTGAAGGAATTTTGAGGTGTTTGAACACCCCCCCCCGCCCCCCCAACGAGCGTGAGAACTTCCCTTCGCACCTGTGAGAATGGCGTCTATTTTATCCACCACAAAGTCGGCGTCGTCAGTGTTGAAGCACATGGGGGGCTTGAACTTCAGCACGTTGCGGTGCGGCCCGTCGGCGCTGAGCAGTACGCGCTCGTCCTTCAACCTGGTTGCAAAAAGGGTCCAAGTCCTTTTCGGTTGGGTGCATTCACGTCAAACGTGGAAGTCTCTTACCGATATATGACCTCTTGGGCCTCCGCCGTCGCGGGTGCGAGCGTGGACCTGTCCCTCACGAGTTCCACTCCCACGAACAGGCCCCGACCCCTGCGGGCGGTCACACGGTCATTCCTGGCGGCCACCGGCACACTTTTTTTGGAATCAAGTGTACCTGATGTCGCCGATAAGCGGGTGCTTCTCCTTTTGTTTTTCCAGCAGCTGGGTCAGGTAACCCCCGACTCGCAAGGCTTTACCCTGCAGGTCCTCCTTGGCGATCACGTCAAGGACGGCCAGGCCAATAGCACACGACACTGGGTTGCCTCCGAACTGCAAGCAAACACACACACACACACACACACACACACACACACACACACACACACACACACACACACACACACACACACACACACAGGCTGGTTTGTGTCAAAAGTTCCTATTCCCTCATTTTGACCACAAATGCAGAAAGTCCTGCCTCTGAAGATACGGTGTCGGGCTTTTTTTTTTTTTTTTGGCAGCCATTTTGAAGACCTCCTTTGCAAGCCTGTTGCACCATATGAAAAGCGTGACGATCGCCTGCGGCGATGAACCTGAATCTTAAGTAGCACTGCAAATATTGTTTCTTTGAGGCAAGTCTCTTTTCATTTTATGTTGTGGACTCTTCTTTCTTTTTTTTTTAGGCCTTTGACACTTTATGAAGAAGCTCTCGAAAGACGTTAGACTGCAGCACACGGCAAAGTTAACATTTGGCTATTCAAAGTCCTTATTAGGAGTTCAGACACCTCAAAATGGCTGCCTTCCTGTTGAATTTAAGCATGGGGTCTTGAAAGTTTTTTTGGAAGTTCATGTCCATTCATGAAAGTGGGATTGGTGAGCCATTTTTTAAATGCCCCCAGGGGTGGAAAATGGGTCATCCCAGAATCAGAGGCAGCAGCATTCGTGACCACCGTGATGCCGTCATTATTTGTTGTGCAGCGCGTGGGTCTTACCGTGTTGAAATACTCATTTCCCGATGACATGAAGGCCTCGGCCACCTCCCTGCTGGTGACAACGCACGACATGGGGTGCCCGTTGCCAATGGGCTTGCCCATGGTGACAATGTCGGGCACAAAGTCGTCGCCCTGCAGCTGGAAGGCCCAGAAGTGGCTGCCGACCCGGCCAAAGCCCACCTGGACTTCGTCGGCGATAAAGAGCCCGCCTGCCTTACGGACGTGCCTGCGGTGGGCGACGAGGGAGGAGTCAGTTAAGAGCAAACAACAACGGGACACTTTTTGATTTATTTCTCATGCGCACGTACTCAGCCACTTGCTGAAAGTAGCCCGCAGGGGGGATGACCTGCCCGCCGCAACTTTGCAGTGACTCGGCAATAAAAGCGGCAATCTGCAGGTCAGACGACACGTCGGGATAACTGGACGACCTCTTTTGACCTTCGCATACTGTTCAGGGCTCAACTAGCTTGACATGGCAGCACCTTGCCTCCTCGACTTTGCACTCGCTCGATGATATCTCGGACTTCATCGGCGTATGCTTTGGCAGGATCCGCGTGGTCCCGTTTGTATTTGCCTCTGTACACGTCCGGGCTCAGGGCCTGACGAGGAAACAGAAAACCGCTTCAAAATGACAACTGGTGGGAAGTGCATTTTAACAGTAAGTTTTGATTGAAAAAAATAAAATGAAGACAGCCTTTTTTTTTTTTTTTTTTACGACACATGACTGTTTTTATGTATAAAAGTATGCGGATCTGGAGTTTATTGAACATATATGGTCTTTTTATTTGTAAAAAAAAAAAATCTTCATAAACATAAATACATGGTTGTTTAAAATACAACAAAAGTATTCATTCATGAGTCTTAGCTTTGCTTCACACAACCTTCAAATTAGATTTTTTTTTTGGTGGGGAAGCTAAATAACACTTTGTTGACAGTACGGAGTGTACAGTCAAGCTTAATATTTTCATCCTAAGTTGTCAACAACTGAAAATAGCCAGTGTATTTCCAATTTGAAAAGGCAACTGCCTTCATTGGTATCAACACATGAGACGTCAGCGTGCTGAAAACATGACTTGGCGAAGCCCTGACATCACTTCACCCATAATGCTTCATTGGTTGTCGACAGAAACTTTTTTTTAACTTTTATTTGTGCCTTGCTTCGTTTATCTTACTATCCGTTGACTGCTCGTTTTGTCGCACGCGCAAACCATGCGTGAACCAGACTGTGGCCGAATTTGATGTGGTGATGGATCACTTGCGTCTGGCGTCGCTCGCTTCTGCAGCCCTGTTGCAATGGTCTGCCATTGACTTCCCTGAAGATTTTGCTGACGCTGTCATAAAGTGTTTGATAGTAAATTGAATCAGATTGCAATATTCCATAGAGTAATGCTTTCGATTACTAGTGACTTGAAATTGCATCCATTATTGAGCAAAGGCATCGCACATCGTAACACGTTAACGGATTCACTGTGCAGCGGGCATGGCAGGTCCAGTTGAGTGATGTAGATTTAATCGCACTCACCACATGGACAAATGGATTCAGCGGCGCGTCTGCCAGATGGTGCAACTTGTAGGGGCTGATTTCAATCAGCGATGTCACGTGGCCGTGATAGGCGCTGCAACAAAATACAAACAAGTCATCGAAGTGCGGGTGCGGGGGGAAACGCATGTTTTTACGCACTTGTCCAGGGTGATGATGTCTTGGCTGCCCGAGTACTGGCGGGCGAGGCGGAGCGCCAGGTCGTTGGCCTCCGATCTGGAGTCGAAAAGGGCGCCAAGGTCAGCGGGAGTCAGCAGCTGACTGTCGTCCAGTTACTGAGTCACCGTTAAACACACACACATCCACACGCGCTCGCTCGCGTGAATCACTCGCAAGCCATTTCCGCTCGCAGAGCACCAAACAAAACTCAACTGATGAAATATTGATATTCAAATACAAAACGATTGGTTTGCCAATTCCAGTGAAAAGCTTTTCCATGCGCCATTAGCAAAACAAATCAACATACGTAACAGTTGAGGGGAGTGTTTGTGATCGTCAGCGTGGTTACTTATTGACACGTTTCGCTACCACGTGACCTTTGACTTATCCGAGGAAATGTCACTGCATGGAGATTTATGACTTGGTGGCGACATCAAATCTTTTGGAGGTACCGGTGATAAAGAGGACTTTCTTTATCATGTTTCAAATGCGCTGACTTATTACAGTCACCCTCAGCCGGTTTTCTCGCATGTTTCTCAATCGCGATTCAGTGCGCAGCGGTCTTTGCGGTATCCTCTGACATCTGCGCCTCAATTTAAAAACACAGTTTGTGATCATCTGAGATCACCCCAATTAAAGTGACACTGTAAAATAGCCATTTATTTTTATCTTCAAGCTACAGTATGGAATCATCTTGAGGGCCTATTTCTTTGCGCGACCCTTGACCTTAGGGGGTAGAATGTACGTTCAGATAAGAGACAAGTTCAAGACTTTTATTGGTTTGTGGTGAAAAGTCAATGCAGTTGGAGCAGCCGGGACATCCTTCATATTTTGTCGTGTCTGGATAGTTAAAAAAAAAAAAAAAAGCTACAAAATAAATGAAAATGAAACAAGAGTGCAGTGGAAGGTTGCGCCCGCCATTGTTTTGTGGAATGCGGCGTAGCTGCAAGTCATATACAGGCGGGGTGAAGAGACACGCGAGAGGTATGTCACCTCCTCCAGTTCCATGTTGTCGCTCGTACTCACCCCGAGTTCACAAAGTAGAAGACGGAGAGCCGGGCAGGCAAGGTGGCTTGCAGCCTCTGGGCATACAGCACCAAGTTGTCGTGCAGGAAGCGCGAGTTGGTGTTGAGCATTTCCATCTGCTGCGTGCCGGCCAAAACCACATCTGGGTGGCAGTGACCCACTAGTGATGGGCGGAAAAAGGGTGAGACACATTGCGCTTGTAGGTAAGGTGTGTGTGTGTGTGTGTGTGTGTGTGTGTGTGTGTGTGTGTGTGTGTGTGGCTGCATCCAAACGAATTGAGGGAAGCTTGAACATGCGACAACACAACCACCCGCTGCCAATAAAGGACTTCCTCATTAGTAAAAAAAAAAAAAAAAAAAAAAAAAAGGAAGGTCTTAGATTAGTTAAGTCAGTCATTGGATCTTAACCTAATCGAGCATGCAATTGACCTCTTCAAGAGGAGGCTGAAGGGAGAAACAGCTAGAAACAAACAAGAACCGAATGAGGCTGTAGTAAAGGCCTGGAAAAGTGTTTCAAAGGAAGAAAACAACAGTCTGGTCTAGTCAAGGGGTCGCAGGCTTGATGCCGCTATCGCAATGTCATCAAGTTCTTCACTTGAAGTGAATTCAGTCCCAGCCTGAAGCAATATTTTGGTTCAATTGAAAAGTGGGTGGCTTCAAACAAAATGTGCTGTGGCCTTCGTTGTTTAACAACTCTAAATGTAAATACCAGGAAATAAAAGCTGTCATCCGAAGCTTTTGTCTGATATTTTGATCGGAAACCCAAATGTCTTCACTGTACAACAAAAACCAAGGAATTGATCTTGCTGTTCCAATACTTTTGGAGGGGACTGTAAATGTATCTATTTTTTCTACCTTCAGAAATTTCTTGATTCCATCAAGCCAATGCTAATTACGTTTCGACTATTTCCTTAGCTCCTCCCTTTCTCGCACTTGCACTTTGAAGGTCTGATGATGACGTCACGTATTTACCGTGTGCCACATTGTTGATGCAGTCCAGGTAGCGTTGACCCCTCTCGTCGTACATGTACTGACCCCTGGCGCGCACCATCTTAATGGGGTCATCGCTGAAGAAGATTTTGCACGATGGCCTGCACAGGAGAGAGGATGAAAAAAAGTCATTCAGGCAGTTCAAAAAAAAAAAAAAAAAGGTCGTCTGCTGAATAAATAAATACACTTTACTCGTACCCAATGAGCTTCCGCCTCAGGTCGATCGTCTGCGTTTTGGCCAACTTCTCTGCGCACATCGTGCAAGTGTCCCGCGGGAGCTGCACTTCAAGTACAGTACTGTACTTTTGGCCTGGCGATGCGCGCCGCCCATTTGTGGGGGCACCGAGGACACGCGCGTCTCAACGCTGCGCCTCTGCTGGCACCTACTGGCCACGTGCGTGCATTAGCCTGAAACGCTGAGCACGTTTTTGAATACAAAAATAAAACAAAAGCATCCATTATTGTAGTCCCAGTTACTTTTCACGTTCAAGTCAATTAACAAGAGATTCCATTTAGATGCCAATTTCCGCCCCCCCCCCAAAAAAAAAACCCCAAAACAAAACCGTTTGGTGCTCTAAGGTTAGCCTGCCCGCCTCACAGACATTTGGTTGGAATTACACGTTCTATCTACCCTGGTTTCATCCCACGTTCAAGAAACTGGGCAGAAAAGTAATGAGTAATAGATTACTTAAAGGAAAATGACTTGCCAGTAGATCAGAATACAAATTTAAAAAAAAACGTTTTGTGACTTAATTTTTTCCCCCTAGTTTGATATTTAATGTTGGTTAGATGAAAATTTTGGCATTGTGTATGTTGGCAAACCTCACCTTCAACCCAAGTGCTTCAGGGATACACTGCACCATTGTAAATGTGTGTGAGTGGGTGTGTGTTTACTTCCAACGATGAATTTGAAAGACTGCGTTTATTTGGCTCCAACAGTACAGTCACATGAGTTTTACCACATGGATCCGTTTTTTTTTGTAAAGAAATGTCAATCAAATGGGTAAAAAAAAAAACAAAACCTAACAAAAATAGTACAAATGCAGAACATAAACTTCAAACAACAATCAAAAAGAATACAAATATATTTCAACTCACACAACTGTTTGTCCTTTGTTCCAAAACCACACGTGGCATTTCACATAGTCTTTTGTACATTTTCAAATGGCAAAAATATTGGATTGGATTACTTTGGCACTTGTGCACATGATTAAAAAAAATAGACCAAAAAAAAAAAATTAAAAGATCTGCACATGCTAAAGACACAGCACCATGTGAGAACAAACAACTAAATCAAACAGGAACATTTTTGTGGAAACACACTGGAGGAATGGGGCAGTAAAGTCGAGTTTTCTATTAATTGTCCACCCCAGCAAAGGGGTAGCCTATAATTGAAATGGGACGGACACACAAATCAGTCAAATGTAATGTTGCTGTTGCATTCCACACACACACACACACACACACACACACACACACACACACACACACACACACACACACACACACACACAGAGATCATAAAATTGCACTTTTTGTCAAATGAGCACACATCTCATCAGTACATTAACTCATCCACGATACAGAATACAACACATACACACGCATATATATATATATAGAGAGAGAGAGAGAGAGAGAGAGAGAGAGAGAGAGAGAGAGAGAGAGAGAGAGAGAGAGAGAGAATCGCACAGCACGCGTATGCTACATTCAATGCAAACGAGGGAGAATAGAAAAGCAAAACAAACGCATCGCATTGGCTGGGCCCAACAACATTCAGGTCACCGAAATAAAAGCAGATGTGTCGTCACGGCGACGCCCGAGTGACACACAGGAATGCCGCTTTCGAAAACCCAAGCAATCCAAGAAAACATAGAAAAATAAATTATGTCATCAAATACAAATACATTGTATATGCAAAGAAATCACATCATACATAGACAGGAAAGAAACTGGTGAATATCCTTCCGCATATTTGGAAAGAAGAAAGAAAGAGAACGCACCAAAAATGGCCTCGAGGGCGTTCCATTCAGGACTTGCGATATAACACGTATACGAATGCACATGCAGTGAACTGACATCTCCAAGTAGCATTTGTGTGTTTTTTGTTAGCGCCCAATTGAAGCCGAACAATTAAGAAGAAAATAATACAACACATTTTACCACACCAATTCCTCTCCAATAAACACAATAAATGAAAAGATGCTATAAAGTTTGTGGTCAAGGAATGAATAAAAGCTTCAGGCACCAAAGGCTATCTTACACCACGTAGAAAACAATTAACAATAAGAAAACAAAACCAAATTGTCGCGTCATATTGCCAAAGCGCCTCCAGCCTGACATCCTGCCGCGTCACATTTTTGTTATCGTCTCTGGTACATTATGAAGTGAACCAGTTGGAGTCGGTTGAATTCATTCACATCTTTTGGATCAAAACTGATTTTCTGATCCAAATCATTTTTTCGGTACACCCTTGCTCCTAAGTCAAGGTATAGTTGTACATGTGAAAATGCTCTCTTTTGGACCGACAACGAAATAGACGACGCAACATGTCGGGTTGCTTGCGTTTTGGCAAGATAACCAAAAGTGAAACCAAATAAAATAAAACCAAAAAAAACATGGTTGCATTCCATCAACACTCAGTAGATCCTCAGCTGTCTCCGCGGAGACCGTCCCCGGCTCAGAGGGGGCACCCGTCCAAACTAAAACCCTTTATGGATTGTTATCAGTGCAGCCGAAGGAGGTTCGGGCTCCCCGGACCCGGCGGGGCGGGGGCCATCAACGCCTCTTGCAGGCACGGTGGGCGGGCGCATTAAAGCAACAAACATCTTTCATTTTCGGGACTTTTCAGGCGACCAGCCATGGCGTGACTCCCTTGGGAAGATTCAGCAAAAGTGGAAATTAAAAGAAAAAAAAATGTCTCTTGTTGTTGTTAGTTTTTCCTCTGCAGAAGCCAAAACAGTGTGCGCACAAGACATAACATGCTTAGGCGAGGTTTTGTCTTTTTGATGCTGCGTGAGTGGGTGGGCAGTGACAACACAAAACAATAATCTTCCTGTCTCTGAGTCCAAGTGGACCCATGCAAGAGCCCTGTGGCACTCCAGTGTGGGAAGCTGTAAAGTTGCGCCACAAGCTTCAAATGAACCAACCAACACGCTCACACGAACAATGTGGATGTGAGAGAGCAGACATGATTTTTTTTTTTCCACACTCTGATGTGATGTGAGTAGAAGCAGCTTTTGGGGCGTGATGCATCCCAGGGTTTCTTTTGTTGTTGGTGTTGGTTTTGCATCCTCATACACATAGGCTTCTTTTTTTTTTTTAATCCCATTTAAAAAAAAAAAACTATAAATACAAAAAAAAAAGAATATTTACAAACTCCATGCGTTTCAGGTTAGAGTGATCACTGCAAGAAAAAACAAAACACAAGGAGAGAAAACCACATGAAGTGTGCTCACGTTCCATTTTTTTTTTTTTTTGATCATGCAAACAACGGTGTGGATGACATTAACAAACTTAGGGAAGCCACATTTTGTTCTTGCCATCAAAATGTCAAGGTTTGCCCTCTTACCTTCTGCCAGCAGCCAGGCATCGGTAAGCCATCGGGACCCTGCCAGCACCACAAAGGCACAATTAGACTGAACCGGCATTGGAAACTTGTTCGACACACTCACACTCATTCAAAATGGCCGCAGATGGACTGATTTTATGCCACAACTAATGCACAATGTGTATATACGTACAGCAGGTGATATAAAAAGTCTGCACACCCCTGATCAAATTCAAGGTCGAAAGGTCAGTCAATTTATTTTTCTTTTCAGTTGAGTTGTACAATTTATGGGTAAGATGAATGATTTCTCTCGGTCACATTTTGTTTTTTTTTAATTTGACACATCTTTATATTTGGACAGGCATGTAGAGATGTTTGATTTACTTAAAAAAAAAAAAGCTCAATTTCCCTTACATTTTGTGAGTCGTGTATGTATACACACATTTGTTGCACATGCATTTCAATTATGTTTACATGTTTACATGCATCGCTGACTAAAAAAATGGAGTAAAAATTTGTTGACCGATGTGATTATAGTTTGCTTTCATTTTTTTAAAAGGAATTTTTGGTTTTGTTTTATTTTGTTCACAAAAATGTCGCTTTCCCCAATTGTCGTTTTTTTTTTTGGGTGAGTTTCCCTTAACTACATAATATAACGACAAACAGTATATTGTCATTCAGGCAAATAATACACATCAAAATGAAATAAATAGCATGCAACATGACATACTGGTTCAAGTCTCTCACTTTGTTTTGGTGAAATACTGCAAAGTGAAGCGAGATGCTCAGTGTGCGCGCGTGAGAGCTAGCGCTCAAAGCGGCGGGCTTTGACTTGCGCCGCATGACGTCAAACGTGACAAGAAACTTCGTGTAACGTTGGATTGTCCCCCTCTTGTGACGGTCTGGCCCAATTGGTACAAGAACAGGAAGGAACGAGTAAATGGTAGAGGCGGAGGAGAACGGGGGGTCACTTGTCAGTTGAGAAGTCTGTTAGTGTGGTGTTAAAGGGGAACTGCATTGGAGGGATCAGCTGGAAGGAAATAGGATTGGGATTTTTTTTTTTTTTTTAATTGGGCGTGAAAGGGGTGCGTTAAAGGGTCTTGATGCCATCTTATGTTTTTTGTGTGTGTGTGTCCCATTCGACTTGTATCGTTTGAAAAAGGCTGCGTGCAGTCAAGAAGTTAGTCGGATGCAGTGGGTGTTGGTGCACATATGACAAATGAGAAAATGGCTGCACATGCGTGTGCTGTGCACGTGCTTGATGGCTGAAGGCGAGCGACATGCATGAGGGCGAGTGGTGGAGGAAAGAGAGGAATACTGTACCAATTGGCACGGGGCATCCAGCCCGTCCAGACCGGGCTGCCCTGGTTCCCCCTTTTCACCCTTAAATCCCCGGAAACCCTGTTTACAAAAATGACCTCGGAGTGTTACTGGGACAGAGCGACGACCGAGAGGCCTGAGCGAGCGCGCGATGGCGGGGTCGCCTCATGACCTTGCCGACGCCACAATTCGGCCTCAGCTTGGGTTTGGGGATATTTTTCGACGCGGGGCGGTTAGCTGGGCGTCGGTGTGGCCACAAGGCGCCCCGTACCCTCGTTCGGGGAGAGCACCCTACACGGCTGGGACGCGACTTCCAGCTCACAGTTGCAACATACCAATGGGCAGGGTGCATCTAATCCAGGGGCACCCTGTTCTCCTTTCTCGCCCTTAGGCCCTTTTTTGCCTTTCTTTCCCTTCTCCCCCTGTGGATACAACCATTTGGTCACGTTAAAAAAAAAAATCACGTGGGTGGAGCAGCGGTGAGATGAAGGAAAGGGGAGCGATTAAAGAAGGGGAACCCACAACAGGGGGAGGTTAGATTGGTCTCTCGGGAGAAAAGAAACGGGAAATATTACAGTCGGAGGGAGTGAAGCTGACCACATTTTAAGGCTGTCAAGGGCACAAAGGATGAGAACGAGTTGCAGGGAGAAAAATGCCAAAAGGGAGATTCATTCTTGACAAATACTCCAGTCATGCATTAGTCTGTTGTTGACGTCACACCTCAAGTCGGGTTATCTGGTGCAGACTAAACAGTGAAACGATGCACAAAAAATATTTTCTTTTTCATTTCTGGACTTTTCAGGTGAGTAAGTGAAGTCAGCTCAAGCTACAATTTGCGTGTGGAGCTTATGTGAGAGCAAGCGAATAAAGAATTAGTTATTTTCTTTCAGGATTGGAGGTGACAAGATGCACGGTGACAATCGGAGGTGGATGCGAAGAGCCTGCTGTCAATGGACTTCGGTTGGAATGACGATGAGGGGTGACTTGTGATTGGGTGATATGGTTAGCATGAGCTGAAGATGACATTGTGAGGAGCTAGCCGTGACGCTAACAAATCGAAACACTCGTTCTGTCCATTGACACCAGGGGTCTCGTGTTAGAATCGGTGCAGCACATCTAATTCTACGTCTACCTTCTCTCCTCTTTCCCCACTGTCGCCTTTCTCTCCTCTCAAACCCGGCAACCCCTGGAAGAGGGCAACTTTATTAATCTCAACAAGACAAAGACAGACAGAAAACAGACGTTGCAAGCCGCTTTGAAGGACGTCGCAAAGATGGGATCCAAGGTCGGAGGAAATCTTCAAACCCTGTTCTTATCAGGTACCCCGTTCTTATTAGTCACACCTGATGATTCAGATGGAATGCAAAGATGGAAATCCATCAAAACAATTCGCAACGGATGCCGATGAGACGTTTGGAATGACAATGCGACTGATACACGGAAGCCTTTTGAAGCATTTAAACACTCGACTTGACGGCCTTCTCGTTTCTTCCGAGACTTACATCCAAGCCCGGTGTTCCTGCCGCTCCCTGCAAAGAAGGGACGACACGGATCAGAACCACATGAGGCAATCTCAATCCTGGCTGGCAAAACATTCAAAATAAACATCCGAAACTCACAGGTAATCCGTAGGGTCCCCTCGGTCCCGGGTCCCCCGCCGCCCCTCGCTCGCCCTGATCCGGCAACAACAACAAAATCAGCCGAGGCTTCAAAAGTGAGATGAGAGCGGCAAAGTGCTTCTTACTCTGTCCCCCTTTGGGCCGGCAGGACCAGCTGGACCTGAAGGCCCGTCTGTGCCCTGCAATGAGAAGCGTTGCCGTGGTGACTGCAAATCAGTGGCGCTCCTCCGTTAAAGGGAATTCCCAAAATATATTTGGAGAATCGTACACATGCACCTCTGCAGTTGATGAATCAGTGCGTGTTCGTGCTGACTAATGCTGCACAACGTTTTGCGTGTTTGTTTGATAACACAGTGGTCCCTTGACATAAGAGTTTAATTTGTTCCGTGTCCAAACTTGCGACTTAACTTCAAATTGAAGTAAAAATGACACCTACGTGGAAGTTTAAAAACAAACAGTTCTGAAACTGGAAATGGGAATGTATTTTTCGATAAAGCTGAACACAAGTGAACTGTAGGCACAGATTCGTTCGCATAGCATTTGAGGGAGCCTGCATACCACCAGTGCTACTCATAGTACTTTGAGAATCATTTATTTCGGGCTTGGAAGACAAAACGCGTCTTCTTAAACAACACTCTGAAGACCCGGATGACTGTTTCACGAATCCACGAAAAGGCTTCATCCTTGCCAGCTGCTTGAGGTGACAAAAGCTGGACTCAACTACTGTGCTGATTTGCTGCTCCAATGTCAAATCACCGTCCAAATTAAAACCCAAGTTGGAGGCAGTCGGCTTCACAAAGTAGGGTGACTGGGACCAAATCATCACTTGGGTTGATCTCTCCAGATTTCTAAATGTGGCTCACAACACAATGCGAAAATTAATGGACCAAGGGATGGCTGGTCGTTGGGGCACTTGGATATCAAGGAACCACTCGCTAACTTGTTTGCTCATGCGTGAAAAACAGGAAGTGGGAAAAGCGGGTCAGGGGGTCTGGATGAGAGTCGGAGACGGGACAACGAGAGTTTGGGGTGGTCGAAGCCTCTCGGTCACTCACCCTAATCCCGGGCTTGCCGTCCAAGCCGGAGGCTCCCTGCGTGGTTACGGGCGTATGAGTGACATGGACATGGACAAGGAGGGATTAGTACCAGATGAACTCTGTTATTACTGCACATTCTGAGGCCAAGTTGACTTTCAAATTATACGCTGGGTTACTGGGATTTGGCAAACTAATCAGGCAAATGAATGAGAGCACGTACACACGCATACCGCCAATATAATACAAACACATACAAACACTCTGGTGCACAAATACAGTCGCAGGGGCATTTAGCGTACTTACAGGGAGACCTAATGGTCCTCGGTCTCCCTTGTGGCCTGGTTCTCCGCGTGCCCCCTTTGTACCGTGCAAACCGGGTTCACCCTGCGGCATAAAGATGTGAACATGTGTAAGTGGGACACACACAACGCACCAAAATGAGCTGGAAAAGTAGCCGACAGCATCGCAATGGAAAAGAGCCATAAAGGAGTCGCATCTGTTGCACGTTACAAAGTTATTAGAGTTCATGAAAACTAACAAAATAAAATTGAAAAAACATTTTCCATCATGAAAGAAAATAAAAACAACAAAGGCTTTAAAACAAACTGAAGACTAGCTGAAACTACAGCTTCTGTTTATAAAACAAGTCATTAGAATTATAGGGAAAATGTCTTTTGTTTTCGTCTTTGTCAATTAATGGGGGAGTCAACCCCAAAATGTTCTTTACACTAAAAACTTTTATGCAGCTGAACTAGTATAAACACAGTATTCTCAACAATAAACTACAAAATTAAATCCACCCACTTTTGTCCATCTCAGGGGGCGGCCATTTTGTCACTTACTGTCGACTGAAAATGACATCACACTCGCTCAGGGCTCAGGTAACAACCAATCATGGCTTAGCTTCAGATGAGCTTCAGGTGAGCCATGATCGGTCGCTACCTGAGCCTTGAGCAACTGTAAGGTTATTTTCAGGCGACAGAAAGTGACAAAATGGCCGCCCCCTGAGATGGACAAAAAAGGGGTAGATTTTGCTGCTTAACTCATATTCCACAAACGCAATATTAATCAGACTGCCGTGTTTAGGCTACTGGAAGCGCAAGTGTCTCAAAATATCCGTAAAGAAAATTTTGGGGTTGACTTTCCCTTTTAAATCATATTTGAGCTTTCAGGGTTAATTTGAAATGATTATTTCGGTATGACTGTCATTTGAGAATTGTAGTTTACTTAACAATAATACACAATATTTAGTGTCCTACATTTTTAGTATGCACTCAACATCTGTAAATACATATAAAAAAAATAATACTAATAAAAAAAACAAAGCATTAACAAAATACACAAACAAACAAATAAATAAATAAACCGGCTCTATAAACTCATGAAAACTAACAGAATTCAAAATGAAATAAAAAAGAAAAATCCCAAACTATTATAATCCTGTTGATGACACACTTGGACTTCTACAAAGGGGGGCTCAGTTACCTTTGGTCCGGGGAAACCGTGGGGTCCCTGAAGGACAAAACAAGGAACACGTCTATGTTTCAGAGTACATAGATGGCGAATGTCATTTTCACCATTCATACAAGCTTTTCTACTTTTGTCATTTTCATCACACACACGCACACGCACACTTCTGCCAATTAGTGCGACACAGGCAGACCCTGTTCATGTGTAAAACGCTTCAATTTTGTCTGACTAACAGACCTGTAGCCATTTTCTCCCCCATAATCTCTCTCCCACGTGGACTCAAAATGGAGTTGATCTCAAATCGTAAGTGTTGCAAATGCCGCCATCTACTGGCATCAGTCTGTCACTTCAGTTGTTTCCAAAATCTATTAGGAAGGTCCACAAACACAAGTATGTAATGTTTTTACCGCGCTGAGACTTACCATGGGTCCAGGGGGCCCGTGAGGTCCTGGTGCCCCCGGAGGGCCAATAATCTAAAGAGATACACATTTGGGACAGATGAAGCTTTGAACTTTCCCGTCAGTCATGTGGAACGGTGAAACTCACTGAGGAGCCTTGAGGACCCGGCAGACCTGAATCTCCCTTGTCTCCCTTTACCCCGTTGACGCCCTGCACCCCCCCCCCCCAAAAAAAACAACAGTTAAAAAAAACACCTTCGAGTCATATGTCTCCAAGATTACTATGGGAATATTTGCATATTTCATACAGGTAAGCCGGGTAAACCGGTTGCTCCTTTGTCGCCTGATGCTCCAGGCATTCCCATGTCTCCCTTGGAACCCTTGTAGCCCTGCCAAATAATGACCTCTGATGATTTAAAAAAAAAAAAAAACACTCATTCTGTCTTGAATGGTTTCATACGTCGGCGACGTTATCTTACGCGTTCTCCGTCAAGTCCTGGTAGGCCAGGCATACCACGGTCACCCTGCCGCAAAACAAACAGAACAACTCGTCATTTTTTAAAATTTGCCCTTTTAACAGCAGTATGAGCATCCATCCATCCATCCATCATCTGAATCATTTCTCCTCATGAGGGTTGCGGGCATGCTGGAGCCTAGCCCAGCCATCTTTGAGCAAAAGGAGGGGTACACCCTGAACTGGTTGCCAGCCAATCGCAGGGCACGCATAGACAAGCAACCCATTTGCACTCAAAATTACACCTAGGGACAATTTCGAGTGTTCAGTTAACCGACCAAGCATGTTTTTGGAATGTGGGAGGAAACCGCAGTACCCGGAAAACACCCAACAGGCATGGGGAGGACATGCAAATTCCACACACAAAGGCCGAGCCCAGAATCAAACACTTCTGTCCTGTGACGTGCTAACCAGTCTACCACCGCGCTGCCCGCAGTATAAGCACTCAGTAGAAAATGTTCAACATGTACCTTCATACCGTGCGGTCCTACAGGTCCAGGAGGACCCGGCGGGCCCTGCACACAAGCAAAGACGTCCCATTTACAATGACACACTTGAGCAACGATGAAAAGCAAAGCTATGTGATGATTTAGAAGAACAGAAGCATTGAACACATGCCAAGGTTGACAAGAACATGTTAGCCGGAACACATCAATTCTATTATGCAAAGCTGCCTTGACTTACAAATTTGATTTGTTGCGTGACCATGCTGGAACCTCAAAATAGCAGCCTGTCGCAGGTAATTCTTTTGTTTCATCCGTTCTTGCAAAACCGTTTCATTTGTTGACATTCTATTTCGGTAAAGTGAATTTTTATTTTGAATTTGACTCGCGAGCGTGGTCACGTCATGAATTCAATTCGTACGTCAAGGCACCGCCGCTTATGACATCAATGCCAAATATTTTTGATGAGAGCATGCCAATGCTGACGATTGTCACAAATTAGTACTGTGTGAACAATGGTTGACGTGATTAACCCTTGTGTCAAAGAAACATGAACACATAGACCTACTATCCTACTGTATTTGCATGTTGGCCTTTATGGTGGTAGTTTGTGTGTTCAGTATTTCATTCTCTTTAGGTGGTTTAACAGGCTTTTGAACAACTGACAGCCACGAGATTGTTGCTGACGGGGATGACATCATCACTTTTTGGAGGGGGACTTAATGAAGAAAAATGTCGACCATTTCAGTCACTGTTTGGTACACATACGGTTAAAAAAAAAAAAGGGAGGCAAACCACAGTTAGGATTGTGCTCATGCGATTAAAACAACACTGATGGCAATTCTTAGTACAGACAAATAATTACCGTCACTGTAAGAGTGGTAATCTTCTGCAGCACACCGAAAAGAAGAGAAATAACATTGCAGAGAGAACAAACCTTTGCGTCAGCATATTTTCTCTTTGGCACAGACACACCCGAAGAATTGCATTTTCAAACCGCGGCTTGAGACAATAGAGCCAAAAGATATCATCCGTTGTCTGACCTTCAACGCTTCCTGAATGTTCCCATTGTAGTCAATAATTTCAGTGGCCCCCTGGTCTCCTTTTTGCCCAGGCGGGCCCTGCACAAGGACATTTGGCACATTCATTGAACAAATATTCGACACGGATGACGACATCACCTGAAGGCAAGAGTCTCACCTTTGGCCCTGAAGGCCCAAAGTCTCCTTTGTCTCCACTTTCGCCCTAATTCAGGATAGAGAAAATATAAGTTAGTTGACCTCACGGGCTCTGAATGATCGCAAAAAATAAACAAAACAAAACAGAATGGTAGCGATGATAACCTTTGACCCTTTGGGACCAGGTGTGCCTGCCTCTCCTTGCGAACCCTGACAAAGATAAGACAATTACAAGTACATGACAAAACAATGGTGGGAAGGAACAATACACAAATATTTTGTTTCTGACTTCTCAGGCATCTGTGCTTGTGCATTGATTATTCTGAAAACCTTTTATTCTGACTCCTTATGTTTGAAGGCGCAAATCTGTACTTTCTGGTTTTTCAAAATAGGCTTGTTCGTTTTTTTTTTTTTTTTCAACCTCTGTGGATGACGAGATGTCAAAACGACGAAAATAGAGAGAGGAAAAGATTATGTGATGTTTTGGGCTAAAAGAATGATTCGGTAGCGAATGTGGTGTGTCTTGAGGCAGCCTAAAAACAGCTTCTAGCATTAAAAAAAAAAAAAATCTACCTGATCTTTAGTAGTATATGTATTTGCATTTTTTTTTTTGTGAATCAGTTCACGATGTTACAAAAATGAAAAATAGACATTTTCATTTCAGAAGCCCTCCCTTGTAAAGCCACGTCCTTCTGGAAAGTCACAGTCAGTCCAGAGGTTAGTCACGGTAGGGGAATAAAAATAACACTTGCACCTCATATGCATATTTTGTGTTGGTATTATGCAAAATCATTTTTTATGTAATTTCTTGAACAATTGATCAGAGGATCAGAAGAATTATGGATTCTAAAATTATTTGGGAGCCAAAGCTCCAATAGGAAGCACATGGGGATGGTCAGACAGCATTAAAAAATATGTATAAATAAGAAAACTACAGCTACTGTAATTGAATTAGTACTTCTACTTTTACCAGTGTCGTATCTGTACTTCTATATACAGATTGTTCGTACTTCTGCACCTGTGATGACAAAAAGACTCCAAATGTTTGGTGCCTTGTCCTCATTTCACAAGGTAGTGAAGTTGGTGTTGAGGTTTCCATGTCATCCCACTGGGATGCCGGCGGTCCTATTTCAAAGAATCCCGCGCGTGCGCCTCTCGAGGGAGCCACGCACGCCGTAAGCTTTCACTAAAAAAAACAACGGTGTTTATTTGAAGTCTGTCACCGATAAAGGCGAGATTTCACTTTTTTTATAATTAGCATGTGAAACACATGTGCGGGTCATCTGAGTTGAGACTGCAGTTTATTGAAGCTACCTGCTGGGTCTGAGCCAGACATAAACAATGGCCAACTCATTTCCACTGAGTTGACATGACGCGGTAGAATGTTAAGATCATGACTAAGATTCGAATGGTTTAGGCAGCACTCTGCGAACAAAATGAACCTTTCAATCAGAACTTTTTTTCAGGTAAAACTTTGTAAACAAAGAGGACAAGTGTGTAGACCACCAGAGAAGGGGTATTAATATGCCTCTAGAGGGCGGCAAAAACCAATTAGGAATGACATAGTGTACCTTTGGTCCAACAGGTCCCAGGTCGCCTCTTTCACCTTTTCCGGGCGGTCCATGCTCACCCCTTTCCCCCTTTACACACAAACAACAAGATTTCAGTCGTGGAAGTTGTCATCATCTGCTCCACATTAAGACGACATGTATCTCTCAAATTAGCGTTTGCATTCTGCTTCTCCTCCAGTCCTCGGTGTACTTTGTAGTGAAGTGAGCAAAGATGGCCAAGAGATGGCGCTGTGGTGCAATTTAGAGAGGCTTTGAGCTCGTGTCACCTTTCTTGAAATGACGATCAACCTAAACAGTTTGTACAGCATCACACCGCCCTAAACGAAAAGGCCCGACTTGCCATAATGTAAATCATCCATGTCGAATGTGTTTTCCCTTCCCTGCTTGTGTCATCGCATGAATCCACAGTCCAATACAAACACATTCTGGATGCCCAGACATGAACATTATTAATTATCCTCCCTCGTGCGCATGTGGAGCATCACAGTCAGCTTCTCAGTGTGATAATATCACGACTCAAAGGAAGCACAGAACGGTCCCCTTTCCACTGACATTTTGGAGGCAATGAAAAAGCAAGGAGGAAAAAAAAATCAAAACCTCAACATTGAAACATGTTAAAAAATATCTGTAATCTGTTTAAATTGGGATTTCTTTGAATGCTCAAGGAAAATAATGGCACCACGCTGAGGCCTAAAAAAATGCAAAAGCAAATCCATCCATCCATTTTTTTGAACCGCTTTATCCTCACGAGGGTCGCGGCGTGCTGGAGCGGAAGCTCAGCCATCTTTGGGCAGTAGGCGGGGTACACCCTGAACTGGTTGCCAGCCAATCGCAGAACACGACAACAAACAACCATTCACAGTCACAATCACGCTGTGGGACAACAGAAGAGTGCGCCATTAACCTTCCATGCATGTTTTTGGAATATGGGAGGAAATGGGAGAAAACCCCACACAGCAAGGCTGGAGCCCAGATTCAAACCCTGTACTTCTGTACTGTGTGGCGGACGTGTTAACCAATCGTCCACCGAGCCTCTTGAAAAGAATTGAATTGCGAATTGAAATGCAAGCCCTAGGTTAAGCTAGCTGTCATGGCACACGCTACAAGAGCCTACTTCAAAATAAAATCTTCCTAAGGCTTTTTCATTGTTAGAGTTTTATTTTGAAGTCAGCCTTTGCGTTATCGGCGTGTTATAGGTATTTTTCCACCTTTCTTGACATGTCAAAATGACTGGCGGCAGCTCATGTCCCAGTACGCTGGAGGCTAAAAATGAGAAGTGTCTGTACTTTGTACCGTTGCGTACTGGGCCATTGTAAGCACTGTGTACAAGGGAAAAATGAGTTCTTCGTGTGTGATGTGAACTGAGTTATACAAAGTGGAGCTCTCTCTCCCACCTTAGTTCCTGGAAGGCCTGGGAGGCCTGGCTCTCCTTGGGGACCGAGGAATCCTGGCTCTCCCTAAATTCAAGAAATAACAACAAGACATTTAACGTGCGAAATGAGAGTCACCTTTCAGTTCAACAAGCATGGACTAAGACTGGAAAAAAAAACCCCGCACATTTAAGCCACTTCAGCGTCTTGTTCCCAAGACTGTGCCGCAAAGTGTACCGACGATTCGGACCCCGTTGGAAAGTCAGTAGGATTTCCCGTCTTGGACTTACGAGGAGTGAGGGGATGCTATGAGGTGCGACGCTGAGTTCAATGTCGGCGTATCGCTAAACCATCTGCGACCGCCCGCCTGCCGTCACACGCTCGAGAAGTCGGCGGACGATGCAGAAAGCGGCGAGAGTGCAGGCTCAGAATTAGGTGAGTGCTACGTTAGCAAAATGCTGTTAGATCCATCAAGCATTCAAGCCTCTTAAGTTAAAAAAAAGTGCAATATTAAGCTTGACAAGCATAAAAAAAGCACAGTAGACATTTGTGCATTCAGTGCATTGTTGACAGTTTTTTTCTCCATACATGAAAAAAATCAGGTGACTCAGCCAGGAGATGCAAACAACCGTCCACGCAACTTCACACATATTAACCTCACATCGGTGGACACGATCGACAGCGGTCCATTGATGGCCTACGACCTGACAGCCTCGAAAAAGGAATGCTAAACAAACACCGCTGCAACTTGGGATAGCATTCTTGTAGCAGTGGCTAACTTATTTGTGCATCTTGTGTGAATTCTTATTATTTTGCTGTTAAATTGACCCAGGTAAAATTTTTTTTTGTGCAGTAGCAGCAATAATGTTCCTGGGTCACTTTGATTTGTGTTGATATTTTATTTAAATCTGCTGGCCTTGCACTCCTTGTCCTTTTTTTTTTTCCAACAAAGATGGCAAAATAACAGGAGGCTTTATCAAATATCACAATCCTATAACCAATGACATCGAAACATGCTTTTTTGTGATTTATCTTTTCCAAAAGTCTCACTAAAAGCAGATTGCGCCCCACAAAAAGAATGCAGCTCTAATCTCTTCCAGACACCCCAAAGATAGGATAAAAATTTTTTTTAGAGGGAATAACTATAGTTTAACATCCAGAAAACAATGTGAAATAAATTTAAATGAGTAAGGATGCAGATGGAGCCACACAAAAAAATAAATAAAATTAAAAACAAAACACAATGCTAATGCATTTTTTGTTTGCGACACAAAGGTGGTTGAGTTTTTGCTGTGGTGGGCTGAAGCAGATGGAAAGCGGGTCGGGAGAAGTTGTGACAGGGTAGGGGTGGAAACAGCAAATCATTTACCTTAATTCCTGGCAGTCCAGGCAGCCCTGGAAGTCCTGGCTCTCCCTACACAGGAAGAGTTGCGACATGTTACAGCCAAGCTAAGCTAAGAGGCGCTTCGGGGATCCACAGAACATTCGTTCTTCACATGTTCAATTGGCAATCGAAACACCACCCTCCACTCAAAAAAACAAAAAACAAAACAAAAAAAAAAAACCCAACAAAAAAACAAAAGTGACTCCTCATTACCTTTATAATCAAACACATTTTACTCCAGAATACTATTTTAGGTTCAGATTGAAATTAATTTGAAAACACGGGACTGAGTTTGAGTTTTTAATAGGTACACCTGGCGAGAGCAAAAGGCAAGAATATGGAGTGAGTGAGTGCTGGCCCATTTATCGACTGCACTGATGGAATTCTGCTACAGAGACTCTACACACTTTCCTTTTTAGCACAAGGGACATACAAAAAAAAAAAAAAAAAAAAGTCCTTATATGGCTCGGCGTCATGTTTTCATTATTTTGTTTTTGATTAAAAAACAAATTTAAAAGAAGAAGTCCACCCAAATCCACCCACTACCCCCGACTCACCATATGCTTCCTTTTTCGATTTCGGATTTGCCAATTGAAAATGGACAGAATGAACGACACCGGCCCAAGATTTTTGGGCTTCTGTCACATCTCATCTTATCGACCTGCTGTGCCTCGTCGTCCGTCGCTGGAGGCTGTCACCGGGAGAAGGTAGCGCACATGCACTTTCACACCAAACCATGCCATCTTCATGGATTAGTTTGTTAAGTCACTCAAACTCGCAATCTGCAATGCGATTAACTTGGCTGAAAAAAAAAGCTGCAGCTGTCACACACTGCACAGTTGCAAGAGCGCTTTTGGACGTTGCGAAAGCAGCCGTGGCTCGGAGATCATTAGGAGGTTGGCGTAGCTTTCGATGTCACCGACAACTTTGAATAACATGCCGACAATCAAGTCTCTCGGCGAGGCCTAGGAGAGACTCTCCAAACAACAACTTGGGCTGCGGATGATCTACAACTCCGATCCAATGTCCGTGTTTACGGCGCATGGGATGGAAAGATTAGCTGTAACGCCACACGGGGGATCAAGGGGAAAGCTGTAAATTGACACTGTGGCAAATGAAAGCGTCATAAAAGTCATGAAGAAAAGCCTTTCTCGCGGCATCTTCTGCATTTGCGACAAATTGTGTGAGGGCGTCCAACAGTGGCGTTTAATGCGCAACCATAACTTCATGTGATGCCGAGTCGGGGATAATCGTACGTCAGCCTGTCAGAACAATTGCAGTGGCTGTAAATTGTGTGCGAGTGTTTGCTAAAAGCTCTCGCGTTTGAATGATCTCACAAAAGAGAAATTATGTCCTGCGGCACTGTATGCCATTGAAGGACAAATTAAATCTAATTTTTTTTGTAAGACTACATTGAATGTGCCACATATGGTCAACAAAAAAAAAAAGTGACAAGATCCATCTGGCATTATGCTAAATACCACAAGATACATGCAGGGATGGTGCTACATCGGGCACGAGCCGGTCAGAAATGTGTTTGACCTTGGTTCAGATTCCCAAGAACATAATATTAATCCGAATACCCTGTTTTGAGTAATTATGGCACATACAATGTATTGCAGAAATTCTTGAGTTTAGTTCCTGTTGAAAAGAACCTGCCGCTTGCTTCCCCGTTTATACGTTTCAAACCCATCCATCCATCCATCCATCCATTTTCTGAACTGCTTTATCCTCACGAGGGTCGCGAGGGGTGTTGGAGCCTATCCCAGCTGTCTTTGGGCAGTAGGCGGGGGACACCCTGAACCGGTTGCCAGCCAATTGCAGGGCACACAGAGATGAACAACCATCCACGGTCACACTCACACCCAGAGACAATCTCGAGTGTTCAATCAGCCTGCCACGCATGTTTTTGGAATGTGGGAAGAAACCGAAGGCCCGGGAGTACATGCAAGCTCCACACAGGAAGGCCAGAGCTGGAATCGAACCCGGTACCTCTGCACTCTGAGGTCGACGTGCTAACCAGTCGACCACCGGGCCGCCCACATTTCAAACCCAAATCAGATATTTTTGGTCCATCCACTAGGATTGCATGATCCTGGGAGGTTAGCGCGCCTCGAGCCAAAGAAAATGAAAAGCGAGATCGCCGTGATGCTCCGCAGCCAAAAGTCAAGCGTCAGGTTCTGCTCAGTCGGCCTCCCGTGGACCTCGGTCATCATTCCGCACTTTGGAGACAAAGGCTCGACTGAGATTGGAATTCTCTTGTCAAAACTCGATCCTGAGTGATGTGATCTTGCGCACCATGAGTGCACAGTACTCTAGCCCGTCGACGTCTGGCGGCGCAGACATCAATGTGCTTTATAGCTTCAGCTGCAGAAAAGCCATCATTACCTTGTGTCCGCTTCTTCCGGGCTCTCCGGGTTCGCCCTGGAACACAAGCAAAGACAATACTTGGTCATGCTGTTTTGGGGTGTCAGCTTGTTCAAGTGCTTTACCTTAATGCCTGCCGCCGAGGAGCCTGCATCCCCCTGCAAGGCAAAAAAAAAAAAAAAAAAATGGTGAAAATGATCGGGCTAAGGACTGATCCTTGATGGACACCACATGTGACAGAGAGCGTAGCCAACTATGCTCCTCCCAAAGAGACACACTCTGTTCTGTCATTGAGATATGAAGTTGATCGGGCTAAGGACTGATCCTTGATGGACACCACATGTGACAGAGAGCGTAGCCAACTATGCTCCTCCCAAAGAGACACACTCTGTTCTGTCATTGAGATATGAAGTGAACCAAGAATGGCAGGAGGAGGATAAGGTGGTCAGCCGTGTCAAAGTCTGTGGTGAGGTCACTGGTGACCATGACCAGAGAAGTTTCTGTACTATTGCCCAGTGGAAAACAGATTACAGCTTTTTCGTGTAGACTACTTGCGTTGAGATTATTGTGGAGTTGGGTAACAACTGCTTTTATCCAGGAACTTGGACGGGGCAGGTGACAACTCGTTAACATTTAGGCTCTAAAATGTCCGAAGGTGTTTTATGAGGGCCCGCTAGTCCTTCTACTAGTGTGCTGAATTATATTACTAGTGAGGACAAAGGCCGTACTATGTACTAGCACACTGGTAGGATATGGAATAAATGCTTGAATAGCTTTCTGCTAATTGCAGACATGAAGAAGCCAGACTGCCCTCATGTGTCACCTTGCAGACAAAACAAGGGGCCAACGAGTCTAATGAAGTGCGGTCGCTGGGGAGGAAAAAAAAAAGAGGCATCAGAGAGCAGGTTTTGCTTTGCGGTTTTCTCCTCACTTGCCTGCTGCTCAGTCACTGCTGAGCACTTCAAGCTTTTTATGGGACACATTATGCTGCATGGCGTACAAGGCGGCTTTGAGCGTTGGCGTGTCTGAACTCCCGACAAGGTTGCTTTCAGCACATTTGCTCGAGAATTGCAATTGAAAGAATTTGCACATGAGCCCAAAGGCTCATTTGGAGGAATGACTTCAGCGCAGCAAAACCCACTTGACACCTGCAGCTGCATTCATTTTCTTAAATGCCACATGAAAAAAAAATATTAGCTACAAAAAGGCCTTGTTAAACTGCTAGTCAAGCAATTAATTCAGTCTAAGCACTCTTGTCAAAGTGCTACCCTATGCAACGCTGGGCAATTTAACAGCGGGGGGTGTCTGCTTTTATTTTGAAATGCCACCAGTGACTCACGTGAGAACAATTATCAGAAGATGCAACACACGCACTTCACACAAACGGGGGGCCGTTTCGTCACTGTGGGCCCTCGCCGGACAATTTATGGGGACTTCCTGATTTCATAAATATTTCAACGCGAGCCACAAGACCCCGCCGCCGAAACCGCAGCTGCGTGTGGCATGGCGAACTGAAACATCCCGACCGGTCCAATTAGTATACTAAGGCTCCATCCTGCGATTAAAGTGTGTCGCCACGGCTCCAATTTACAGGCAGCCGCGACTCTCGCTGAGCACCGCAAGTTGAGGATAAAAGCACGACTGCTGCTTGGAAAATTGGGCAATTTTCCAGCTATTTGCCAAAGCGAGGATGTCTGGATGGTGGCGGCTCCATGAGCAGCTGCATACGAGTCATCAACATTTCACTCCACTCCCCTCATTTCAACAGACGAACAAGGTAAGATGAGAATTTGCATGTTCACGGACACAAACGGATTGTGCACTTTTGGCAGCAGATGGAAAAGAATATCAGAGAGGGTTTTGCCATTTTCTATTTTTGCACTGATAATTCATTTGGGATGGATGCTTTGGGGATGCAGATGCAAGGAAAATGAAGAGTTGATGCAGAGTTTGGCCAGGGTTGGGCATGCCATCAGAACCGATGGCATGCCCCACCTGTCTTGTGGGTTTGTTTGTGGGGTGAATACAGCGGGGTTGCATCCCTTGAGTATACAGTATATGGGAATGCATTGTGGTTCCTGTACAGTAGGTGGCTGTATTCACCAAAGACTTGTAATACACCAATGAACTCAGACAAGAAGAAAGAAAAGAAGAAGAAGAAGGACAAAGAAAGCTCACGTTCGCATGGATTTAGAGAGAGCAGCAGAAATGTGACCGACTTGGATTGAATTGCAACCTTGGCCACAACGCCCAGCAGGATACTGGTTAAAGTAAGTCATTTTAAGCTTTAAAGTAAAAGACCTTGGCGTTTTAGGAGTTAAATCAGCGGCAAGCAGCCACCATCATTCTCCCGCTGTACTTTACAGTTCAATAGATGAAGTTTCAAACAGGTGTACATGAGGCTTTATAAGGCTGTTTTGGTTGACACTGTATGATGTAGATGCACTAATTATGTAAATGCAATCCATTTACCATTTTCATCAAATTGGATTTTTCATCTGATGGACTATGATGGGTTTTTTTTTTTCTTTTGGCAGACTGCCGATTGACAGACTGGCAGACAGCGGTGAAATTTAGTGACGTCCAAAAATAGCTGAACTATAATTTAGCGATAAGGGAAGCGCGGTTAAAATATCGACGACTGACTGACGATTTTGGTTTGGCTTGAAATAATGACGGACTGATGACGACGGACAGTCGGCCCAGCCGGAGGCAAATGGCAACATTTTTTGGGCAAGACTCCTTCTTGTGACTGACGAAACAAATTCCAACTCCAAAGTTGCCCTCCTGTATAGATACGCCATGGTCATTTTCATCGGGGATATTTAATTAAGAACGTTGCAGATTTGTAAAGACTCCGGCATGACCACATGGGTTGAAAACAAAAAACATTCATAACGAATGGCATTGTTGGTCTCAGCGCATCGAAGTGAAGGTGGATCTATCATCTTGTCATTTGCTTTCTCCTCTGGGTCCGACCACCCCCACTCCCTCCCACCCCCCCAACCCACAAGCTCCTCCCAATCCTGTCTAAACAAACCCCCCTTTGTAACGTGCAAAGTTCCCTCGGGACATCACTCTCTGCGGTTTTTGCTCTTTCCCAGAGCGTTCCCGCTATTTTCCCCGCAGTGCGTGCTGCCTATTGTTAACTTTGGCATCACCACGTGCCCTCATCTCGCGTCCCCCCCCACCAAAAAAAACGCGTGCACATATCCAGCCGCTGATGGATGGCGCTCCTGCTTTGACAATGACAAATATTTGCTCGGAATTCAATACTTTGTCCGGCAGAAATGGACTCTTCTCGACTGCACCGGTTGCATTTCCAGCTCCTCGCACTAGCCTGTCTCTTCTCATCATGTAATAACCGCGCATGATCTCAACTCAATTGCATTTGTTCATTCGTAGTATTTCACTTTGCTTCCAAGGTAGCCGAGTGTTCGCCGCTATCTCACTTTCCACAAGTGATGTTCCGCATCTGTTTCCCGTGAGCGGAGTCTTTTTTGGCAGATGCGTTAAGTGAGAAACAATCAGAGCTGAGCGGCACCAAATTGACAGTGATGTTTTGAGTGCGGCACTCCTGCGATCAGTCGGATGTGCATTTTGTTTTGATACCTACTGCTCTCAGCAAACTGCAAAAAAAAATAAAAAAAGTAAAAATGCACAAATCATCTGTTGTCCGCAAAGGGAAATGTGATATTTTGGCGGATCTTAACAGACTCTCCTCCACATTCTGATGTGATACCAAATAGACCAATTGAACATTCCAGGCCATAAATGTCATTTGAAACGCATTTTAAATATGAAAATATCTTTTGTTCAGGCACTTGACATATTTTGACTCGAACAAAAATCATCAAGACAGCGTGAAAACTTGTGAAAATGATGTGAAATACAAATGAAATGAAAAATGCTGTTGGGCCAACTTGACCGCTCTGCAAAAATGTGTCTTTTGTTGGATCTCCATTTGACAAGCTGCCAGAGTGAAACATGGTCTGACGACATTGCCATTTTTGTCTTTTCTTTTCAGGCCTTGCCGCCGGGCTCCCCCTACATTTGCGAAGTGGAATTGACTTTTTACAAACACCGCTGGACAGGGTCCGACTTGCCGTATTGTGCCCATGTGTGACCGCCGCCGGCCCACTCAAATAAACGTGATTTGAAAGCGCAATGGAATGGAAGACAACGGCTTGAACGCACCTTCTCACCGATTTCCCCTTTTGGTCCTTCTTCCCCCATATCGCCCTGCAACAAATGAAAACAGAAATGATTTTCCAATGCAGACAAACTAACGAAACCCTCAGAGGAGTTTTCTGCTTTATTCATCAATAGCAGCTAATAAAAGGGCAAAGATTGTGCACGGAGGGGGCACTTTTATGAACATCTTAAATCCACTTCAGTGTCACTCAAATGGTTCACACATGTTTCCAGTAACTTCATGTGATGTCAGTTAGGGGCATTTTTAATGAGTCCGACATATTATGGTGCCATTGATCAGCCAATTGCTATGCAGTGGGGGGAGGGCGGGGTCGTCGGCATTGCTTTGAGGAGTTGCAAAACATCACGTGAGACGGCCGGGGGGGGAAAAAAAAACCTCAAGTGCGTTTTGAATAGTACAGCGGCGCAGTGGGCCAAAGAGTAATCGGTTGGGCTTCGCGGCCGATGAATCATCGGCGAGGTCGCGCCTCCAACCAGCCGCAGGCAAATCATCACCACAAAGGGCTTCCACTTTTAAGGTGAGCACGGAGGAGCAATGGCTACTCCCCCGGTGGTCGAATTAACTGGAGTGGACAATCATCCTGAAGGATCTGAGCGAGACGCTTACCTTTTCACCTCGCTCTCCCATTTCACCCTGTTGGCAAAGAAAGCAGAGGGTATTACTGACGCCGCAGTGGGTCAGATTGTATCCAGGGTGCTCAATTCATGATGGATTACGACAATTCTCTTGTGTTGTGGCAGCATTTATCCCCAGACAGAACATCGAGTATCAGATTCCCCCCCCGCCTCCCCCAGTCATAACAGGGAGTCACATTTTTCACAATAACGTTATTATATCTATATCCATGCACAGTCGATCAAACATATTTGTTCCAAAAAAGAAGGCGGAAGAGGAAAAAAAGAAAGGGAAGAGGAAGGAGGAAGAAAATAGGAGATGGCATGATGACACGGAATACGTGTGCACCAGACCTTGGCTCCGGGGATGCCGTCCAGTCCCGGGATGCCAAGATCCCCCTATGGGTAGCCCGTAAAAAAACACACACACACACACACACACACACACACACACACACACACACACACACACACACACACACACACACACACACACACAAAATGCCGCATCAGCATTATTTCTCCAAAGAGGGGGAATTGATTCGACACTGGCGATTCAGACAAATCTGCCACATTCAACATTGAAAATCTGACAAACGTTCGACATGCATAGTGACTGGAAATTCAATCCGACTTTGGCCTCGCCTCTCAGTTTCCTCTTCAAGCCCTCATATTCTTGATGTCGGACTGAGATTAGAAAGACGGCATCGCTTAAATGATTCCCCATCAGTGCGCTCCGCCCGCCTCATTTCCCCCCTGTTGAGAAACACCTGCGGCGTGTCCTCTTTGTTTACTTTGGGAATCCGATGCAGAACCGAGTCGGACACGCACTTGCGCACTGTGGTCATTTTATGAGGCAAGATATATTGCGATTTTTTTTCCCCTCTCCCTCACGCAAGAACTATAATAAAAATAAAAAAAGCCGAAAAACGAAGGTCGAGGATCAACAACTGCAGCGCCGAAATGTGTTTTTACTGGAATGAACTCACCTTCAGTCCATCAACACCTGGAATACCAGGAGGCCCCAGTGAACCCTGGGAAAATAATGAGAAAAAGCCTTGAGACACTTTAAAATGTCACGGCAGAAAGCATTATGCAGGGTGACAAATGATTTCATCCACTGCGTATTGAAGCGTTTCAAAACTCAGGAAAGAATGACTGACACGGACACTGCGATGCACCGCTGCCATGGTAACCGCCGTTCGGATTGTAAATCCTCTTTAGAAACACCTCGAGTGGCTGTAATTAGCTGTCATCACCTCAATCACCTGAATGGCACCTGAAAAAGCTACTTCACGCCGCACGACGGGAAAACCCTAATCGAGTGAGCCTCGGGGGCCAGGCTCGCCAGTCATTAACCAGCCGGCGTGTCATCGTTGACCCGCCGACCCCCTCCACACACACACATCGCCTTTGCCGGCGGTCAGGTCCTGCCGACGCATGACAGCACAGACAGGAAGCGTCTGATTGGGTTACACTGAACAAACACTGGCAGCTACCTGATGGCTGGATATGGCCAACATCTGCTCCTCGCATCAGCGGCCCTCGGCCTGTATCGCCGCCTTACACTTTTCACTCTGTTCACTCTCCGTTCACCGCGCCGGTAGAGTTATAGCCCTAAACATGTCTATTCAAGCCCACGCCGCGTGCCATATCGCGTATCTTCATCGACGGCCACTTCCTGTGAAGGCCACGATCGGGTATTATTTATTGAGAAGGTAAGGTTGTAAATTAAAAAAAAAAAAAGATAACTTACCTTGAGTCCTGGAGGCCCCTCAGGTCCCTGAAAAGAAATAGAGTTACACAGGGGAGGTCAAATATAGTCAGCCTCAGTTCAGGGCAGTGGATACGTTCCAGATCTACCAACGATAGATAGATGGAATAGTATTGCCGCATTTGGGCGTTAGACATGTAACTTTAAAATGGTAATTTTCAACCAAGGTGCCATGGCAACAAGGCTGTTGCCATTCATGCAAGAGCACGAGTCATGGCTTTCAGCTTTGTGTTCAATCGAAACGGTTTCGCACGTTCGAATGCAATGGTGTCAGTTTCTGTGTCCGTACAGCGCCGAGCAAGGCGTCTGAGCATTGATCCGAGTTCAAGCGGAAGCCCTCTTTGACAAACATGCAAAATTCAACACGAACGTCATCTCTGAGGAGTAACAACACGATCTCTCCTGGTTGGCGATCACAACCTTTGCTGGTCTTTTTGGGCTTATGCGAAGCCTGCGTGTTGATTGGCCAAATGAGGCAATGCTTGGAAGGCAAAGTAAAATGAGTCACTGCAAATACGGCAACAAATTCTGTAAGCGCGATTCAAACCAGGGGGGTGAAGGTGGCTTTCCTCTTATGGCTCCACTCAACAAAACATAAGACCGTGTAGGAGAAGCCAGTAAAACTAATTTTGGCACCCTTCGCGACTGCAGAAACAATCGAGGACTACATCTTCCACTTCAGACCAGAACTGGCGACTTTGTTTCCATGAACCGACGGCATGTTTGAAGGAGCTCCCATCGTCCCAGCAGCAAGTCCGCATCCGCTGGAGTTGCCGCGACTCGCAAAACCCTCAGTGCGCGCACCTATTATCCGCAGAGAAGGACTTTCCTCTGCTTGCCTTTGTGGAGCCATCCTCCTCAGGGCTTGGTAAACATCTTTACGACCCACTAGGTATGCGAGCATGTGCCACTCGCCTGAGCACTAATTAGCTTGGCTCCATCTGAGAACACTCACAGGCTACTGGCTGAAAAGTACCATTGAGGGGTTGGGGTAGTCAAGAGCTCCCCGTGGTAATCCTGGACCCTTTGTTCCCTGCCAAAATGAAGATCAGCACAATGCGTCTGCTCCAAAACCATAAGTAGGATGAATGTTCACAAATGGGAAGCAATCGGAAACGGAGCACTTTTCCGCTTTCGTCCGAGGCGGGCAAACGCCAAACGCTGCGTTTCAGGAAGGCCCCAAACAGAGCAGGATGTGAACCTCGCTCAAAAGCGTCTGCTCCCATTCTTCAAACTCTGCAATTTGATGTTCCCATTCGATACGCGAAGGTGCTCGATTGCTTTCTGAGACCGTTCTTTTCCTACAGTCTTACGGAGTTGTCTTAGGGTCTTATGTTTTTACCAACGGAGCTGTAGGGTTAGTTAGCATAACAGCGCGCTCACCACAGCCCCAGGGAGCTTACGGTGGCGTTTGCTTTATTTAAACGTCCCGACGTTTCAATCATAGCGCTTTCGCGAGCAGCATAAACAAATCGGCGGAGAGGCGAGCTGGCGGCGGCGTCGTGCTTTCAAAACACCCGAGTTACCATCAAGAAACTGAATGATGTTTACGCATTGCAGGCTTGAGAAAATGAAGGTGGATCACTAGTGCATTGTGGGTCATTTTGGAATGAACGGAATGTAAGGCGAGGATCTGTGTAGCGTGAAATGGAAAAAAAACTTACCAAAAGGCAATTTTTTTCGTTCGTTCTTCTTTTTTTTTTTTTTTAACTGAAAGAACACCACAAGCACAATACCGTGCGCACACTATTGCGTCCCTGTGGGAGTTCTGTGGGGGATGCTCGGAGAGTACAGGGTACTGGATCTCCTTTGTCCCTATATGACCAGTGTCAGAGTTTGCTTCAGATTGCCGGCAGTAAGTCAGTTTGGTTTCCTGTGAGGGTTGACCTCAGGCAAAACTGCCTTGTGTCACAAATTCTGTTCGTGACCTTCACGGACAGAATTTCTTTGGTTTGGTGATCTCGGAATTACGTCTTTGCATTTTGCACATGATGTGTTTCTGACGGCTTCGTCAAGCTGCCATGTTCAACTCTTGCCGGAATTGTTTCACAGCTGAGTAAGAAGCGGCCGGGATGAAAATGGGACCATGGTCCTCGGTCGGAAAAGGGTGGAGTACCGAATGCAGGTTAGGGCTGACACCTTGCCACAAGTGGAGGACGTCAAGTATGCTAGTAATCAAAATCTTGGGAGCCCCCCCAAAGCGTCATCTTTGGGGGGCATCATTTCACAGCATCATCAGAGGGTGCAAGCCATTGGGTCAATAATATGTAAAAATAGGACCCACACATGTAGACTGACCAATAGTGTGGATTTGTGGAAATGCTATTAACCCTTTCAGGGACAGCGGTAACTAGAGTGGACAGCGATTCAAATTTTGTTTTCTCTTACATTAATTAATCTTAACGTTGTGCATCAACCACTACAATGGATCCTTATGTGTGTTGCCATCCACTGCCATTTTTTTTTCTTGCATGCCTAAAGACTAATAAAAACACTTGAGAAAAAAAATTCTGATGGAGGTTATCACTAGTTGTGCACGAAAGAGTGAAATTTACCTAATTGTGGCCGAGGAGGTTCCGAAGATTTGCCAGCAATATGTGAAAAATCTATCCGTACAGTAACCAAGTATTTGTACTCCATTACTTTACAAGAGTGGAACTGAAGAGTTTTTTTTTTTCCCTGAAGAAAAAAAACCTTATGGCACTGATGATTTGGACTGAAATCCTGAAAACTCGTACCTCCTTTTTTCTCTTCGTCTTCCCACCTCCACCCTGCAAGAACTTCTAATCCTTCTAACTCACACCATATGTCCTCGAAGGCTGCTGGAAAACTCTGGAAACTCCTCCATGCCTCTTAAACAATAGCATGCATGAGAAAAGCGAGGCTTGCGTCAAGTGGACACTCCAGGTCCAAGAGCAGTTCATATTTTGGACCCGGAGATCAAAGCGCCTGTTTTCACTCCATGCATATCATATTTTTAGATTGATTTTCAAGGACCCGTCCTGCGTGGAGACATGATGGAATTGTTTTTTTGTTTTTTTACCCTCACTGTCACATCTTTTAACAACTCTCAGGTCGTTCTTACTTCAAAACATTTTCACAGACTAGAGTTACAAATTTATTGGCGTGCATCTGAAACAATACGCTTCATTTCAGGAATTACAGTGAGCCACCATGGTGGGCTTTTCATCTCCAGCGGGGCCGCACTCATTAATTTTGATGTTCAAGGATTTTTATTTCTTTCTTTTTTTTTTGGGATGATCCTGGAATGATTTTGTTGATTTACATCCTTGTCTAACTCCCTTTCCGATAAGCTCAATGTTCTCGAATCGACACTTTGGAAGACGTTCCAAGGAGGTAGAATCCAAATTGTCCTCCATCAGTTTCTAGCATCCGCGAATGCACTCGTGCCGCAATCACATTTCTCCTCCTGTACCTTTAACACACCACGTGTCGCTTTGTAAGAATAAAAGGTCCATCAAATGTGTATTCGGTGACTGTTAACACGAACAATGTGTCCCTCCTGTATCAGGGTGTCAACCTCTGGAATGATAACGCATGCACTGACTCGTTTTCACCATGATTCCGACCGGGCTTTTTGTGTCACTGTTCGCGCAGTTTAATATTGACAGAGTGCCGTCAAATGCTCACAAAGCCGCCACTTGATTTTTGGTACTTCAACATGTAGCAGAGACTAAATTTTAGTCTAAGATGATGAAAGTGGAAACAATTATTGGAATAAATATGGTATTCATAAATATGCACTACAGTTAAAATGTGTTACGCAACCGTTATGTTTTGCCATTTCATGTGATCAAAGTTCCTTTTGTGGATATCAAATGTGTTGTAAATGAACAAGAACTGCATTGTTTTTTTTTCGTCTTCTGTGTTTACCACTTAACTGCACATGTCATTAATTTGTTTCTTTATCGTCATCGGATGATGCATTTGGAGAAAACCAGACCCGGAATGTTCGAGAGGCAATTAGCAACGAGCGAGTGTGCCGTAAAACGAGTGGATGCAGAATCAACGGATTCATTTTGGACTTTTTGTAACCTGATGTAACGTGAGTTCTTCATCTATTTATTTTTATTGTGCTCAGACGGAATGTTTTCAGCAGAAGAGCCAAACGCTAATTGCAATTTGCGACGTAGCGATGTAAGCTAATTGCATCCTAGCAGCCGTTTGCGAGAGTACCGGTCACTAAATTGAAAAAGATGATTTGCTGGCCAATTTTGGCAGACATCAGAAAGTGCTCCGTTGCCAAGCCATAGCATAAATAGTATTTTAGATGTAAGCGCGTGTAAAAGAACATTTCAAGGAGCTCGTCGGAATGGGTCTGAAGTTGCCGCGGCACGTGTTTATATTACAAAGCCGGAGCTAATCACACAGCTGTAATAGGTTTTATTTGACTATTTGGAGACGTAAAGCTGCAGAGTCCATGTATACATTCGGCTAAGTGACGGCGGTCACGGTTCGATTTATGTCCCAAGTGTTCTTGCTTGTTTATATCCAGTATTAAGTGATACCGTGATTGTCCGCTCCCTGTCAAGTCCTACACTCTTCCCCCTTTTATTTCAAATATCAACTTTTTTTTAAAAAGTTGACCACACATCCTGGTTAAACTGTGACAGCCCCGGTTTTGAGCCCTGTGTTGTGATTTGCCCAGGCCCATAGTTTTGTCCTTCTTTTAATGCATGTCCCGTCCCGGCGTCCCACTCTTTGTTTTTTTTGGACCAGGCAGCAAGTCAATTGTTCAGGCCATGTGAATGCGAATCACATAGTTGTCATTGCGATTCACACGCTAAACCAAAATAAAAGTAATTTAACTGTTAAATTCTTTCCTACTTTCACATTCACATTCATACCGGAATGAAAACTACTTGCTGCTTTTGTGTCTCAGAATATCAGGGGAAATGTCGTTTGATTGAACACGAGCTGAGCGTTTGTGACAATGCGTTTCCAATACAACGTGGGGCTACGAGGACAAAGATCGGATCATGGTGAGTGCATTGACTTGTTTAGCGCTTTGAACTGTCAATCAAACAGTGATTAGCATTAGCTAAAGCAATAAGAGGACCACCGGCCACCAGATTGATTTGAGATTAAATTTGTTATCAACAGTGCGCGGTGAGAATTTGTTGCATAGTTGATTTTCATCGAAATTCTAGCGTCTCGGTTTTTTACATTTGAAAATCTGGTCACCCTGACTTTGATGTTCCCCTTGCCTGAACATGTGAATTAGCACGTATACACACAAAGAGTGATTAGTTGTGGAACGGCTTGTTCTTACCACAGGTCCTATTTCTCCTGGATTCCCTTGATCACCCTGAAAGAAAGAGTTCATGGGATTCAAGTTGTGATATTTTAGGTGACACCTGCGCTTACCAAGACATTGATTGTGAAACGCATCCACCTAGCATGGCTAAGTCAACCTCTTTTGAAAAGGGCGAACGAACTCTGGCTCCTCTCCCTCCCGTCAAATTGCGGTGGGAGAAATGAACGATGAGAGAACAGAGAGCACCGCGAGCCAGGAAGGTTTAATTTCTTGGAAAAACAACAACTTTTGCAACTGCGACTGGAAGAGCTGACAATAATCATCCGAAAGTTGGAGAGAGGCAGCTAACAACACTTAATTTCACTGCACTCTCACCGCCAGCACAACAAAGATCATCTGGAGCTCCCGGGGAAAGCTTTGGCTCAGCGTAATTGACAGGCCTTTCTTCTTCTTCTTTGTCTCACAGAGAGAGCGCGCATCAATTAGTGTGATGCCGGTGACGTGGACATGGAAAAAGTTGTGCTGGGATGAAACACGGCCAAGTGTATGTAAATCTATACGAGGAACTCTTCTCGTGGGAAGCACAATCATGTTGCGCTTGTCGAGCGTTCATTCGGGTGGTATGTATTGGAACAAAGCTTCCCGGCACAGAGCCGTCTTTGCCCGTGTCCCCTGGTGGCCCCCGTGGGCCCGGAGGACCCGGGGGCCCCGGAGGCCCAGGTGGTCCTGCTTGCCCCTGGTCTCCCTGCGCATCAAATCAAAGACGTCAGCCGGTTGCAATAGTGTGAAATGCACTTAGACCGAAGGTACCGCGATGAAACATGAAGGCGACATTTTGATTCCTAGTTGTCATCATGCACTACACGTTCCGGCGTTACTCGTTGAACAGTACATCGAGAATGTCCTGCAGAAGCATCCGAAGAGATGAATGCGACATGGTTCTCACGGGTTTTCTCGCACGTGAACAAGGGAGGGGGGAAAAGGGCAACAATTCCAACGGCAACAAGAGATGCTACAGAAATGCGAGCAGAGTGTGAAGTGACTCCGAGAGCCTCGGAGACTCCAGCCACTACCTTAATGAGACGTCGCTTTATGAGCTGCTGGTCAGCGGAAAGAAAGCCGTGATTGATCTTAGGGAAGACCATCTGAGCAGGCGAGCGGGTCAGAGGCGAGAGAAGGTTGAAGACGGTTGAGATCCCGCAAGGAGAGGAAGGAGAGGCGGTCGGAAAGCGAATGCAGACAAGAAAAATTGGAATCAGAGATCGACATTCCGGAACATTGGAGGAGCATCTTCACACATAATCGGAGAAATCCACACTTTGGCACCACAGGAGGAGGCTTGCGTCGGAAGTCTTGGCTAATTTTGGGGGGGATCTTAAAGGCTAGAATTATGCCGAGGTCTGTGGAGGAAATGGGAAGTTCTCCGTCTGTGAAAATGCCACCGTCGTCATCCTCGTTCTCATCCTTATCATTGTTCCTGCTGCACAGTGGAATCCGCAAACACTCAAATGGATTGCGAAACCTCCTTGCTGCCATCCACTGGCAGAAGGAGGCGTTAGCGCTCAATGAAACAGGACAGAAGGCCACATTGATGGATTTAAGGATTTGTGGTGAACCATTGGCATGGACTTTAAAACAGCACTTTGCCACATAGGTTCACCAGCATCGTATTTTTCTTGGCGTGTTGTCCTCCGTTCATTTGAGCATCTATGGACGCAAACCAGACCGCGTCTCCGTTTAGGGATTCCGCTCCCTTTTCCAGAAGGCAACTTTCAACGTGGGGACGTTTTGGATGAAAGGCGATTTTGCAACAGCGGAGGCGGGGGAGGGCTAAATATGGAGGCGGTCCTTGGCGAGTGCAGCGGAGGGATGCCACTGTGCAGCGAGGCGACGCTGCCGCCGACAAACCTTGACGGTCAGGATCTGATTGCTGTGCAAAGCGGCTAGCGTGGGGAGACCAGCCAATCCCTGAAGGGGATAAACACGGCACAATGCACACATTCAAGACAACAACAGAATGGAAGACACCGTGACGTGCGGGGGAAGCGCGAGACGTTTCACACCCAAGCACCAGACAGACACGCAAAAAAAAAAAAAAAAAATTTAGAAAATAAAAATTAAAAAGTCTTAAGGACCCATGCCTGAAATTGAACAGAAAGTCAGACATATTGAAATGGAAAAGGGTGTGAGGACCCATTTGTATTAATTTTGCACACATTTTTTTGTTTTGTGGGCTCGAGGTTTCAAGTATTGGATTACAAATGTGCATTTGAAAAAAAAAAAACAAAACAAACAAAAAAAAACCCTTTATTATTATTATTTCCCATGGCATCACAATAAAAACGACCAAGTACTGTAATCATTCCCTGTTGTTTGTGCCACATGCTATAAACAGATGAGGCCTCTGTTGACACGATTATCACACAACCGAGTTTGAACTCCAGCGGGGCGGTAAATTGAGACGCCGTGTTGTTCCGACATCAAGGAAATCCAAGCTAACGCTTCTCAAACTATTCGGTCAACAATCCTGGTGACAGACACGATCCCGCTCATGAAAACGGACGAAAGAAGGCAAAACATTGGGTGGGTTGGTCGTTTCGAGCTGGAAACAAACTTTAATCTCAATCCAGCAATGTTTGAATCATTTGGGGTTGACGTGCTTTGAGAGAACTAAAAGTTCCCCGAAGTTTACGTGCAACCGCTCTGCGTTCTTTTTCAGAGCAGCCGTGCCCTCGACGGTCACGAGAGGAGGCGTGGCAACCGCCAAGATGATGCAATTTACGCAAAAAGAAAGTGTGTGATGGAGAGACACCATATTTTGAGTCGGGTCTCTCCGAGTTTATTCCTTGATCGCCGCTTTGGGAGCAGGTGTGTCCTTGACAACTTTGTTTTCATTCGTTTGGTAACGGTTCGAGTTTGTTATTCTTGAAAATGGCGCAGATGCCGACATGCCGTTGTCAGTGGAGCTCGTCGATTCAGTTTCCTTGAGCACATTTGACCACTAACGGCTGAAAAGAAACAAAACGAAACAAAACAAAACTAAAATGGGGCATCACATCTGCGGTTTTCGAGTTATTTTACTTTCATTCCGAGATTGATCTTCCCATACATTTCAAGTGGAGATCAAATCTGGCCAATCCAAACATGTCTTTGGTACCATCGTTCTGGTTATAGAACGATAATTCAAAACGCATGGCTCGTACAGACGCCGTTCTTTCAAGGGCGTGCGGGTTGGTTTTGCTGAGGCCCTGCGGCAAAAAGAAATACATCCGAAGATACGCAACACAACACACGACCGCCATCATTGGTATTGAAGTGCAAATGTCTCCCCAGATAGACAACCTCAAACATCTTGAAGACAGAAAAGGAAAACCGGATTACGGTCAAGGCGAGTTCAAAAGATGATCGTTTGGAGTGATGCGCAGAGGCTCGAACTGCCTTTTGTGTTTTAGCTCGTTCATGTGTGCGTTTGCGACATTTTTCATTTTGAAACATTCAAACAAAGCGGATCTCTCTCTCCGCAAGAGAAAACAAAATCTTGATGAAGTGTGGTGATGCTGCACTACTGAGACAATGGAAGCATCCTAACCGTTCGCAGATTTCCTTTTTTAGAAAAAAACAAAAAACAAAAGACGACCAAAATGGATGTTGGTTGTTCGCCGATCTGCCTCCAGCGGAGTAAACGGAAAAAAGCAGCTACGAGGACAATCAGCAACAGCCGTCGCATCGGCCGCCGGCCAGAACACGCATCCTTTCAACCACACCAGAAACGGCACGAGCCCACTTACAGGCGGCGAGCCTTGTCCACATCTGTGGCCAGGATTAGCGGCAACACGCACAGATGGGTTCAATCCATTTAAGAGAAGAGTCGCACACATGCGATGGCCGCAGATTTGCCTTGGATACGACGCGGCACTTATCTGTGGCCCGGTTCGAGACGAGACTGGAAGTGACTGTACCAGACTCGAAATAAAGCAGAAAAGGGAAATATTTTTGGGGCATTCTGGAGGTAAATGCGAAGTGACATACCAACAAGGAAGGCATCTGAAGCTCGTGGCCATGTCTTGGATAGACCACACAGCCACACATGACGTTTTAACACTGGCCGCATGTTTGTTTGTGAAAAGTGGCCAATTCCTGATGAGTTTGTTTGCTTAACCTTTTATTTGGAACTTGGCCTTTGACCTCTCGGCCCAATAAAGACCCTGCGGAAACTCTGCTGGCCATGTGCCGATTCTCAGACTGTCTTTGGCACAGATGCAAAATGACCTTAAATGGACCCTCGCGATTAAAATGATTGACTCTTATATGATCTGACACCATACCGAGTAACCGTACGCATCTGCTATCAATGATCAACCCTTGACAACGACAAATAAGCACCAAACTCAACAATGGCCTTACATTAGCTCAAAGTAGCCCAGAAAGTAGTCAAGGGCTCGCAGAGTTCATTGAAAAGCCGCTTAGTTTTGACATCAAATCTTCGTCAGGCAGCGCCACTTTTATCCGCCTCCATGGGGGGCTTCGGCGGGCTCCCCGTATTACACGACGGCCCGTTTGACGCAAGGTCAGACAGCCCTTGTCCCGTTCCGTCTGTATTTGGTGCCAAAAATGTTCCCTCCAGCTATACACGTACCGGCTCATCTAACACGGCACAATCGATCGGCCGCTCTGGGGAGGTAATACGATTTGGATAATAGCTGGCTCTTGTTGTCCTTCATATGCGACTCGATGTTCGTTTGTACCCATTGGAGAACAATGCTACTGCAAATTGGACGTTAATGAAATCCTATCTGGAAGTGGACAGTTTATTTATTGGCTCTGGAAGACAAATAGGGTTTGGCTGGTCCTTGTTACCGAGCTGTCAGCCCCGTTGCTCCCTCGGAGGTATGAATCATTTCAGCGATCGAGACAGATGACTCCATTTCCGAGGTTAAAAGGGTACAAATTATGGGCAACCGTGAAATCCTAGCCGAAAGGACGCGGTTTACTCTGGTCAGCTTGTCTGGAGAGCAACGCTTCCCCCCCCCGCCCCCTCTTCTTTTGTAGTGGTTTACTTCAAATTGAAGTCAACCAAAGCAATAGCAATTATTACCGCCAGCACTGGTAAACGTGTAAAGTCAAACGAGAGTCAGCGCGTCTGGGTAATACAAGATGCGTGGCGTGTCATATTGAGAACGCTAATTCAATTTCACAGGCAAGGCCATTTGGACGGACTTTCCCGACGGTACGAAACGCAATGCGTTGCAATGCGTGTACGAGAGGCCCCCGGAGGAGAGCTGACAAAGTTATCGGTGACGTCTGAGCGGGCGCCAGTAAGGGATTGGAATCAGATCCGCTCGGGAGATGGCTGCTTCTGGTGACCAGACGAGGCTGTGTGCCGTTCTCTTGTACTCAACCTCGGCTCGTGCCTCCATGGAGTACGGCTAGGCGAATTCCCATGAGGAAGTGACCAGGAGTGAGTTCATGTGAGCCAATGCAGTCTGGTGTAAACAAAACCTGCACCACCGCGGGAGGGGATGCATTTGTGACCGTTGTTGAAGAAAAATCTTCCGGAGTCTGTCAAGCAGGAAGGAGCACTCGCATAATCATCATTTTGACTCAACGCACGCTTTTGGTTTACAATCAAATATCCGCCAAAAATCATGCACTTTTAATAAAGTGTGCACACGCTGCGAGTATAAAGAAAAATTGTGCTTTTCAGTCGGATGAGGGATAGTTTCTCGTGAAAATATTTCTTGGCTCTCATGCTAATTTTGTCAGAGCTGGATACGACGTGTTTGCTAAGATTCTATGTTTGAGAGGATCTCAAGATTGGCCGCAGGTGCCCTTCAATCATTTGTCATGTTTAATTCATGTATTGCGATTCTTATCATTGCCAAAATGTGACCCTCGCGTAAAACGGCCTCACCCACGGAGGATAATTACGCTACGCGCAGTGCATGTCCTGGACAGCCCTGTTCTTGACAATAGCAAACGCATCCTACGTTTACAGTAGCGATGTGCAATACCACCTTTTATTTAGACCGATGACTTTTCACTCTTTTGATTCGGACACCGAGTACTCGAAGTCGTAGTTTTGACATATAAAATTTCATTTCACACAATGGCAAAAAACTGACCAAAGACTTTTCTTTCTGACGCACATGCAGTATAGCGCCAACTACTGATGAGGAGGACTTAGTCAATGTCAGATTTATTTGTACTGTATTTTTTGCTTCTCGGATTGGTGGTTGCTATCGACAGCTTTCATAATAACCGATACTTTAGTGTCAGGCCGGTATTGGCCTGATACCGATGCCTGATACCGGTACTCGTCCATCCCTATTTTATAGTCTTCGTGTCCTTGCTGTGCTGGTCAACTCCACACTTCTTATCAAGCTCGCCATGCCAGCTGCTGCTTGCACGCCGGATGTTTGACAGTGATTTCGACGCTCGACTCGGGTTGAGATACCAAACGACCGAGCTGGGAATGATTACCGCGCTGGATCTGAGGATGGGTACTTGTCGATACAGGTCATTTTCACATTTTCTCCCCCTTCTGCTTTTAAAATAAGCAGACTTGTCAATCTTGTTGCTTTTGGCCAGAGCCGCAACACACGCTATCCCAAGAATTTCATGCATCCCGAGCCCATTGCCCGCATTTCTGCCGAGGGAGAGTCGGTCATCGGTGGAAGGCACATACATACCCGTGGTCCCTGGTCGCCTTGATCCCCCTGCAAGATGACGAGAAAGACAATTTGATCTCCAGCGCACACTGCTCAATAATGGTTATCAACAAGCCAAGACTAACAGTGAACTAACCGGGAACACATTGACGAAGCGAAATAACGCAGGAGCCCACAACTATTCGCCGCGGTGGAGATTGTTATGATAAGAGAAGGTGACAGGCGGCGGGTATGCGAGACCGAGACAAGTTGCAGCGTGGGGAGGTTTGATGGCTTTTGGCAAAAGGGGGGCGGCGTAAATAAGCGTTGCCAGGCGAAATGTTGCGCACCAGAAATCCGGACTTCAGTTGAAACTCGAGTGATCATTAAAAAGACGAATTGCGCCGGCCACTGACTTTAACACCATGTAACTACCGCGTTTGTCTCGTAGCGTTCAGCCAGAGTCAACCATGCAAGGTGTCAGTTCTGGACAGGACTTTTACGCAGAGTTCTATTCAGCGCCTGAGTGAATTCAAACCAAATAGCTCCCGGAATTCTCCGCTTCATTGGAGCCAGATTTAACGGAAAAGCAATGGAGAACGGCCACGCTGCCGCACACGTCTTGGGTGGGAGACTGAGCGCAGTTGTTTCTCATTTCATTTCACAGCAGATAAAGAGGTTCACGCGAGAGGCAGCAATATCAAGCCGCTCAATTCCGGACGCTCAGCAAACGCCACCGACTGGCGTCTCTTGCTTCTGTTTTGCGAGTCAATGCTAACCACGAGATGCCATTGAAACCGACCAGAAGGCGGATCGCTAAACTCATCATCAGCAGCCGACGGAAGGCATCGGTCAGCCCAATTTGTGTTTTAGGGGTTTGCACAAATGAATCAATCCGGGGCCTTCGTTTGAGGCCAAACGTTGAGCTCCACAAGTCGCGCAACACAAGGCGGTTCATATTCGTTGGCTTCACTGTTCGTTTGTGGAGGAATGCTTAGCGGAGCATTCAAGGACTTCATCTGGCTCTCGCTTTAGACTTTTCAGTGATGTGGATTTGTGAACAGCAGGAGCATCTTCATATCCTGTCCCAGAGATTCCCAAACGCAAAATGAGAACCGGATAAGTTCCGAAGTCACTAAACGGAGTCGTCTACCTTGGAAAATATACAATTGTCACGGTGTTTTTCCACATGGTATTCTCAAAATAAATATGGACAAACTTTATGGACATGAAGTAATGTAATTGGCTGATTAAATAAAATGCTTACCTTTTGACCTTTCGGACCAGGAGGGCCCTGTGAAAGAGAAGAAAGTATTCGTTCAACAACAAATGAATCGCTCTGTAAAATAACAGTAAATTTCCGGCAGCAGGGATGCCAGTATTTTGTTATATTTTACAATGCAACTACTGTAATGTACTTTGACAATAAAGTACAGGATTTTGAATTACGGATAATAGGATAACAGTGAGCAGTGTGGTAATTTTACCCCACATCTACTGTTACTTATTTTAACATATGATCGTGTTTTGGATTACACTATATGACAGCATGATAAGCGTGTTGTGGTATTTTTACAGCAGACTCTAGATTTTATAAAATTTAAAAAAATAATAATTATAACGTATCAGATTCATAATGTACTTTTCTGTCGCACACTCAAAGCACCCACAATGGCTATTCAAATACTCGCCTACCCACATTCCGGTGGGGGTAATCTACGTATTAACCACAACCATACATGACCCGGATAGAAAGGGTTTCGAACTCTTGAGTTACCGGACGACCCGCTCTGTCTCCGGAGCTGCGGCCGCTTCGAGGTTTGGCATGTCTTGTATTTTATTAAAGTGTGCCCCTTCTTGTGCTTCTGCCTGTATTACAAAGGCAACCAGAAACGTGGCGTACTATTCGCCTGTGTGCGCCACCTCCGACGGCCCATTTGGGGGTATTGCTGGGGATTGATGATCAATATCTGGCTTTTCCAATCTTTGTGTCTAGACTGTCTTCGTATTGGCCAAAGCAATGCTCCCGCGATCTCCGTGGTTAATTTTAATACAAAGCGATAAAAGAAATGGAATGTATTTTCTGTCAAGCGATGGAGACGGAAACGTGGCGCCTATCTCCACCACTTGACAGAAAACACTTTTATATGTTAAATTACAGTTTGTTATGCTGAACCAAGCAGTGACTGTTAATTTGCATGTGGGGATAAATATTTAACGATATTTTACTTTTTTTTTTTAATACAGTAAAATACTGTTCCAACATCAGTCATTTACAGCAATCCATAGGAGAGGCAGTGACCTTTTTTTTTTCTCTAGCTAGTTGGTGTTGAGCGACACAGTCAGCAGGCTGCAAAGTCCATAAAGAAGGGCATTTAGCGAAGAAACCTGTGCCTGTTTACCCGCGCCTACTCGAACTGCGTTCAATAATAACTCAAGCTCAAGTATGATCGCCATTGAGCTGCTCTCGTTCTTCACTTGGAGGTTATGGAAAATCTTACACGGGAGGAGTTAGTGCTGGATTAGGGAACAGCGAAGTGACTAATTGACCACCCACTTCGACACGAGGATGCCAATAAGAGTAATGCATGCGCCTTGTATTATTTGAGCTTGAACTTCAATGTGAGAGGTGATTATCTTGCTTGCTTGTGATGGACTTCACTGAACACAAGCAGTAAAGCATGTTGTGAAAAAAAAAAAAAAAAAAGGCTTACAGGCATAAGACGCACACGTCTGAATTTGTACCACCCCCATTCTTGTATGGATTCCGATAAATCTATTTTTGCCTCGACTGCTTGAAGGCGTGCGTCTGAGGGATGCCATTATACAACTGCGATCAAACCTCTCAAAATTGCTGGGCCATTCAATACGTGAAAATCGATGCCGCTTTGCCGTTTGGACAGGGGGGGGTAAAAAAAAAAAATCATATTGAAGTTCTGCAAACATGAGCAACGCGCCATCAAATTCAGCCCACTCAACACATTTGGAGACTAAATTGGAAAAATAACAATGGGGCACGTTGCAATTGCTTTGCTTTTTTGTGCGACTTTGCGGGGGCTCGAACCACACAGCAAACTGCTGCTGCAATGCAGAAAAGCAGCACACCAATTTGGATGGCCTTGTTTGTCGGAGGAGATGAAAGTCAAGTGTCCGTCCCGAGAATGTGAGTTCACTCTTCCTGTGATCATTTTCATATTAACAGCACGTGCAAGTCATTAGCCTGCACCTGCCTCGGACCTCGGCCCATCGTTTGCACATCATTTGGCTGCACGTGACATGCCTTGGAGCAAAGGTACAGCGTGGACACGGTGTTCAAACACGATTACGCAGCCCCCCTCGGCTCCCCCGCAAAGATTTTTTCAAAGTGTATTTCATTTAAATAGCAGCGGGCGTCTATTTAGCACGTTGCCTGCGCAGCTTGCGGTTTTCCGTCTTCCCCCGGGAATCTTTCTGATCATCACCTGTAAGTGTTGCTCACTTTTTTTTTCTTTTTTTTTTACTGCTTCAACAAAAGCCGTCTCAGACACGCGCATCCAGAATGATGTTACCCAAAGGGCAAAGAAACGACGCGATACTGCATATGCATCATAAAGTTGCTTAATCATGATGCCGAGGTCACCTTCGACTTCACCGGTGGAAAAAAGTACATTTTCAAGACGTTCCAAACAGCCGTCACTGATTTTGCAGCAACGCACAAAAAAAAAAAAAAAGAAAGAAAAAAAGTGACATGCAGAATATCACATCTTTTGCTACTTAATGCGGGGAAACCACAAGAAGATTTGTAACAGAATTTCCCGTGCACATATCGTCTGATTTTATGGCCAAACGTTTGGATGCCGATGATGCTTCTTTCCTATCCAGATACAAATCTCGCTTCTTTGACTCTCTCGCAGCCAAACCGTGACCACTGTCTCCTGTACTGGAATGACCGAATGAGATATTGATGTTAAAAAAAAAAAAAAAAAAAAAAAAAAAACCCCCATTACCACCTTAGGGGAAAAAAAAAAAAAAAAAGGAAGGAGGAAAATATGAAAGGCCGAAACTTAGCAGGGGCCAAAGCCACAAGCAACATGGAGAGTATCGGCATTTAAAGCACACACAATATAACTTACTTGACTTCATCTTACTGGCAGAGCGTAAACGACGCCTGGAAGATCCTGGCAAGTCTGACGGTGATTCCAAAGAATATTTTGATATGCCGTATGTCCGTTTACCGTTTTATGAATAAGAAGGTGGTTTTACATTCATTTTGTGTGGTTTGGTCCTGTGCCACATCTCAAATGCATTTCAAAAATAATATAACCACTTTTCTGGAAGCTAAATGTTAAATATGAGCGTTTACTTTTATCCCAGTTCGGAGGAGGGCGGGGCAAAGAACATTTCTGACCTTCCTGGCTGTTTGCATGACATTCTGGTGAGGATAGATTATTTTATATCAAAAAGTGGGTGTCAATCAAAAGGTGGCGATACCCCAACAGCCAAAATGTACTCAAGTCATAATTTCGTGGTCGGAAACTAACACCGTGTTGATGCAAAGGAAGACGAAACTATTAATTCAAACGAGCAGCTGCATGAAAGTCAGTTATGCGAAGCGCCGCACCACCAAGAGCCCAGAATCCATTCACTTGCTGGATCCCGATTGTAAATAAACTTTTTGCGCTAACCCGGGCAGTGTTGCTGTTTTGGTCCTGTGCCACATCTCAAATGCATTTCAAAAATAATATAACCACTTTTCTGGAAACTAAATGTTAAATATGAGCGTTTACTTTTATCCCAGTTCGGAGTGGGGGTGGGGCAAAGAAAATTTCTGACCTTCCTGGTTGTTTGCATTACATTCTGGTGAGGATAGATTATTTTATGTCAAAAAGTGGGTGTCAATCAAAAGGTGGCGATACCCCAACAGCCAAAATGTACTCAAGTCATAATTTCGTGGTCGGAAACTAACACCGTGTTGATGCAAAGGAAGACTAAACTATTGATTCAAACGAGCAGCTGCATGAAAGTCAGTTATGCGAAGCGCCGCACCACCAAGAGCCCAGAATCCATTCACTTGCTGGATCCCGATTGTAAATAAACTTTTTGCGCTAACCCGGGCAGTGTTGCTGTAGTTGTCGTGGACACGAGCGAAATCATTTCTGCGGGCTTGGCCGCCTCATCCGACAAGATGCAGAAACGTCAGGAATCGGGATGGCGCTCGGGACCTGGCTGGACCTGCCTTGTAGTCGTTTTCATCACAGCGACCGGGCAAGCGTCGCTAAGTCCAGAAAAGCCATCCATCAAACGAGAGCTCCGGATCCTCATTGGAGGCGCCGAGCCAAGCGGCCTGCCGGCACATGGATCCAATCAACTCACCGTCGAGCACTTTTTACGGCCTCGTCTTTACAGGCGCGACCGGCTCCACAACATTAATAAGCATGCGCGGGCACAGGAGGCTCAACAAAGCCATCCTCGAGTGCTGACAGCAAATGAACGATGGGAGGATTGGCGGACTGATTCCACCGTTTCTCAGTCTATCAAAGAGACATTTTGATCAAGCGAAACAACCGTACGTCTCCGACGACCGGAGCGTAAGATGTAACTCTTGACAAAACGAACAGATTTACTGTACGTCAAACGCAGACTGCGCCTGGCAAAAGCAATAACGGTCGACAAAAATGATTCGGTTTTATGGCGTGTCAACGCCATGGTTACGGTTTAGGGAAATATCATATTTTTGAGTTGAGATAATTACTCCCCGATGCGAAGGTGACCTTCGCTGGCTGTCATGCTAGCGCTAACGAGCACATGGTTAAGGTTAGGAGATGATCGAGTCTTGACTGGCAGGAGAACATGTGAAGCTTGTGGTTGGAAACAGAGGAGGAGGAAGCCACTCGCCGTCTCCCGCCGCAACGTTTGGCTCGGCCGTCATCTGTACGGAACATGTGGACGTCACCTGATTTTTTTCTGTGCGTGAAAAAAAATCACGCCAGCTCCCGCTATTAGAGGACAACTTGCATGGCGAGTACAGCTAATCTACAGGCGACGTGAACAGAACGGTTTACTTCCAGGGCGGCCCGGTGGGCAAATGATTAGCACGTCGGCCTCAAATGGCAGAGGGGCAGGGTTCGATTCTGGCTCCGGCCTTGCGGTGTGGAGTTTATATGTTCTCCCTGTGCCTGCGTGGTTTTTCTACGGGTACTCCGGTTTCGCCAGCTCCCGCTATTAGAGGACAACTTGCATGGCGAGTACAGCTAATCTACAGGCGACGTGAACGGAACGGTTTACTTCCAGGGCGGCCCGGTGGCAAATGATTAGCACGCCGGCCTCAAATGGCAGAGGGGCAGGGTTCGATTTTGGCTCCGACCTTCCGGTGTGGAGTTTATATGTTCTCCCTGTGCCTGCGTGGTTTTTCTACGGGTACTCCGGTTTCCTCACGCATTTCAAAAACATACATGGCAGGCTGATCGAAGACGAACTTGCAACAATTCCCTTTCCCTTAAAGCCGGTATCTTCGGACAGAAGTTAAATACGTGTACATCATTTCTTCATACAAATACGGCAAACACAGTGGAAGCCTCAACATGTGGTATTGTCATCTTTGCTAGCTCTTGAAGAAAACCAGGAAATTGGAAATGCTGAAAAAAACAGTTTCACACTGTATCTCTCCAAGGTGAGGACTACACAGTGTGCATATTTTCAGCAACTATCTAAACTCCTTTCATGGACCAATAATGATAACCTGTAACCAGATAACAAGATAGGCTGTCCAGTGTAGTAACTGAGTCCTTGAAAGGGTTAATATAAGACTTTTACTCTGGCTAACTGCGGTCTAAGGATGAGAACAATTCAAGGCAAACTAATCCAACCCCGAACAAATGGATGATGAGGTGCGCCCATATCTGTCCGTGAGTTATTCCAAGCGCCGCCGCGCTTTTCGGCACAATGGAGGCCACTGGCACCTGTTTCCAATCTTCATGCCACAGGACTAAGCAGCTACTGGCTATCTCCCATGGAGCCATTTTAAGCTCCATCCATCCACCTTCTCGTCTGCCTCTTGGCAAGAAAGGCAAAATTAGCTTCTTTCCCAGAGTATCAAACTCTTCCTTTACACAGGCAAAGAAATAAGTGCAGTCTTCTCGAATTGCGATGATTTTCGAGAGAAAAACGGCCCATCTGGATGCGGCAAATAGCAAATCCGTTGCGGCTGCGCCGGGGCAAGAGTTTTGCATATAAAAGGCTGCTACGGGCATCATTAGTGGAGAAAGTGCTCCGTGTTGGAAAGGGCTTTGAGCCGTGCCGTTAAAAACAAAAACAAAGGGAATTTATACACCTCCATCTGTTACTGGTGCAGCACACGAGCCCCTGAGACTTTTTTGAAACTGTTGGAGGACACGCATGCGAACAATCAGAGTCAAACGGGCACAGACGGGCGACCACAAGCGGCTGGTGCTCGTCGCTCCAATTTGGACGGAGAGGTTAGGCCCGACTTGGGAAACCGCACTGGAAAAAAAAAAAAAAAAAAGACTCGAAATTGCATCTGGTTCCCATATCCACAGTGTGTCACAATTAGCCGGTCGAAAATGACAATATACTGTATTGTGTGAGTTGGAATGGACCACTGTGGAAACTTCTAATGAGATTTGTTGCCAGTCTTTACACGCTAACGCGCGGGAGATCAGACTTCCCGCTCACAGGTTTGGGGAGACATTGGATTAGCTTTAAATAAAGCGCAGGTGCTTTTCTTCACGAAGCTTTCGCTTGCACGCAAAAGTAACACAGAAGCTGGATCATTCGTTTAAACCCGCTTCCATCAGGATTACTGGAATCTCATTTGAAAGCGGCAGTTAAAGGAAGGCCATTAGAGAGTGCAAATCATGCCTCACCATAGCCGCCACATTTACATCGCGCAGGTGTACCAATGTCCCATATTGCAACGATCACGATGCATACGGGGTCTGCCGGGCTACGGCAACACATGCTCAGCATCTGTTCGCACAAATTGATCATTTTAGTCCTCCTAAAAAGCACGCACACACATGGGGGGGAGAGCCCAAATGGAAAATCCAAGCAGCTTCTGAGCGATCTCCTGGTATGATTTTATTTGTCAGATCCAGAACCCGGGCGAGCGGGGTCGAGGGGCGAGACCACCTGGGTGCACTTTTACTTCCCAGGACCTCGGGAGCGAGCGTCTGCAAAAGCTCCCAGGATTAACTTACGACTTTTACAGTCAAGTCAGCCCATGCGAAGTCGACGCCTTCAATCACGCTCGCCTCCGGACGATAAATAATAGCAACGACACACGCGAGTTCCCCTGAGCTACGGCGAGTCATTGTAAGCTCTGCTGTTCTTCTACGTATGGATTTGTCTTCCTCTTGGAAGAAAGTTTTCCATCTGCGATGCGCCGGATGTGTGATGAGGTGAGAAAATGGCTGCGGGTGCCACTCGCTGGCCGAGGGGAGGAGTTTGGACCTTGTCACCAAATTTGTCAAAATAAAACAATCTTGACCTCTATTTGACGTTGCTTTTGGCGCACATCCACGATGGCGCTCACCCGTTGTCGTTCGTTTTAGCGATCTTTTGCACGGGCTTGATGCTACTCACAAACAGCCTAGTGTCCAACATGAAAAGTGGCGATACTTGGCTGGGCCACAATAACCAAATAAAAATGCACACAAATGTTGATGTTTCAAGAGAAGTCTGGCTGTTTACTTCCTGTTTTGGCAGCATGACCTCATTAGTTGTAGATTTGTAGCAGGAAATGAGTATCAGCTGCTCCTCTGCAACTGTTTGGCCTCTGGATTTGTGGAAGTGTTTTTTTTGTGTTGTTTTTGTTTTACCTTTACATGTCTTTAAGTAGAAGATGCAAAGCAGGCATACTTACAGGAGGTCCTGAAAAAGACAACAACAAAAAAAAAGACTCTTTACTAACAGAAAGACAACATTAATAGTCATTCATGGTTTGGAGTATCACGTGTGTATCTGCGCACCAGGATTGGCAGTCCGATGACGCATTAGTAGCTGGCTCAAATTTTAAACCTATGAGCGACTTGTTAAAAAGCACCCCCTGCCCCGCCCGTGTATTTTTGTGAGGTGACACACATCTTCCCCCCGCTCTTATTAACTCACGTGAAACGGCCGTGCGCCCGGAGCTTCTTGTTAAATTGTCGGTTTGGGATTGCTAGACCTAGAAGTGTTCTTCCGCATGCAAATGAAATCCGTCGTTCAGCCGCAGCTTTGATTTACTCGCTGGGCTACACTTCCTGGTGTTTGGGTTACAGCAGCGCACTTAGTTGGGAATAAACATGCGCCACAGTGTTACATAAGGGCAATTTGGATGAAGCATAAATCACTTTGTCTTGGTTGGAGAGTGAGTTACAAGGATGACAAGTTTGAGTGTCATCCTTGTGTGGTTGCGTCATCATCTCGAACGCTGCATTGGTGTAGCAACCGAGGTAACGCAATATTCCACACATCAAAATAATCATATCAACAGGAGAGGGCTGTATCGTAAGGAGAAACTACAAAGATGAGCAAAGCGTAATCGCTAGTCTTAATCTACAGTTTCTGATTTTTTTTTTGAACGATGAAAAAAAACCCTGAATTAGACAGCGTTTACGAACGTTTGACTGCTAATGTGTATGCGCAAATAATTTCATGAAACCTTGACTGTGGATGGTATGATAAACAATGACTTTGCAATTATAGAACACACGTGTGCGCACTTACAGTATGGCCGCTCTTTAGCAAGATGTTGGTCACCCTGGCAACCCCACTGAGTAATTTCCCACGACGCCCCTGGAACTTGACTCCTTGTGCCGTCATATGATTTTTATCTTCACATTTATTTCGAAGAATTTGTTCAGAACACATTGCACAAAGCGCTATAAATGTTCCTCTGAGAAAAATAGATGGTTCCGCAGAACCTGACCAAACGTTCCGTGTATTACAACGTAATGGGGTCTATTCGACAAAGCACAGCGTGCCCTCCGATTGCCTCTGCCTTTAATAAAGTCCCGCGCAGCTTCAGACTTGAATGCTTGCAATTGTTTTCCCGGCAGAATCGACGAAATGAAGCGCCGTTTGCTCCGGCCGACCGGCGAGCGAAAGGGAAGCGTTGCGCAACGGCGCCATTGAAAAGGAGGCCGGTCGGCCCGGCCAGCGAGTGTCATGTTTATTGAGACGTTACGGCGTAAACAAAGGCTGGCAAGATTTCAGAGCTGCAGCCGCGCTATTGTCTGCCTGTCACTGGAATTCCCGCCGCTTGCATCCATATCAAATGAAGAGCTTTGAAGTGGTCCACAACAACAAGAACAAAAATGCTGTGTATTGTTTTTGGGACTTTTCTGTTGGAGAAACAAGTACTTGTTGTCTATTAAGTCATGTGGAATCGAAAGGGGGGAAGCACACATGCATACATGTTAATGAGGATGCAGTGGCGCCTGGAGATAAGAGTGACCGCACTGTAGACAAACACAGTGCAGCTCAGCCTCCACATCGCCTCTCGTTTTCAGGTGGGGTGTTTTGACGAGTCAGCCCACGAGCAGGTCTTTCTCTTTTTTTTTTTTTTCTTTTTCAAACCCTGACAGACACTTTTCAACTTTCTCATCCCTTCCCCAGACGGACCAGGCGGCTGGTATTCCAACTGAAAATTTCACGTTCCTATGGCGACCCAAATGGCAACAGTGGAAACCACTAATTGCACATTTACGAACCTTTTTGGCCTCCCAAGATATACACGGAACTTTTGCATGATTATAAAATACGGCGTGGATTGCCGATGTCCTTCCGAATCATTCCTCAAATGATCGTGGATTGGGCCAGCCGTGGCCACACACACACACACACACACACACACACACACACACACACACACACACACGCACACACACATACCAGGTTCTCCGTTGCGGCCTCTCCTTCCTCGCTTTCCCGGAGGTCCTGCAACAGAGGAAAAAAGGCACATTTTAGTGAATTACTTGACTGCCATTTTTTTTTTTTTTTTTTACAGTCCTAGAATTAAAAGCTTTAAAAGAATGTAAATTGTTACAATGGCTTGTTGATTGTCAGGGTTACCCAGGATACACCACTTTATATTGATACCACTGATACGAGCGGACCAGATGTTCTGCTCATAATATTACGAAGGTGATGCAAATTGCATGTGCTGGAATAGCTATCGCAGTCAAGTTATTCCTTTAACCCTTTTCATGCAACCTGTAACCTGATAACATGATAACCTGTCCACTGTAGTAACCGCTGTCCCCAAAAGGCTTCGATAATGCCACAAAGTTAAACTGGAAGCCCTTCTCTTTACGACATACAGTTTATTTATCCATAAGTTTTTTTTTCTTCCCCAATTGCCATTTCTCTGTCAACGCGAGCTGGCTGCTGGGAAAAAAAAAAAGACAATTACACGCTTTGGTGACTTTCATGTGCCGTGGACCCGCCTGGGTTGTGTTTGTACGAGGTCGCATCCGCTCCCAGACAACGAGAAGCGGGAGCATCGTTTCCAAAATGAGCCCGCCTGCCCATCCGGCCTTCTTGTGTACCGATGGCAGGGATGGAAACAAGCTTTCCTCCGCTGGGGGTCATGCACTCAAAGGCAACGCTTGTTGCTTTCAGATACGCTGGAATTAAAAAGTTTAGCTTCGGAATCTGCCGGAATCTGCTTTCCACAAGACATGAAATGGACCTGTTGCGATCACGTTGAGTGGAAGTCAGTGTAACGATAGCGGAAGAAAATCTGCATCTGCATTACATAAAAAAATAAATAAAAAATACACAAACTAAATTGCAGGAAACAAAAACAGTTGATCCGACTGTGCTTGTTTTTATATACTCTTGCATTCATTTTCATGGTCAAATTGGCCTCTTATTTAAATTGCGTTAGGAGTTTTACAGGAAAATAATTTTATCAGGCGACGGGGTTGATCTGCATGACCTGATTCGACCCCCCGGCTTTGCTCGCTCTTCCTCAGCATTTCATCACTTTGCCAACACGAGCCGGCTTGATTCATATCCTTCAGTCGTCTTACTCGGGGTGCAAAATGCAAACTTATGTTGCTTCTTCTTCGACCACGCTTGCTCCCCAATTCCATCCTGCCGTTTAACCGCGCGTCAGTCTCCAGCGCTGCTCGTCTTGGACTCCGTTCAGGATAATGTCAGACGCTGCCAGCCGAGAGTGGGCGTGCATTTTAAACCGCGTAACCACAGGTGGACACACGCTGGGGTTGTTCTCATCAAAGCCGTTTTAAAACAACAGAAAGGCTTTCCTGCTCTTGGCAGTCCCTGTCTTTGTTGTCGTCTTTCAAATGACACTGGAAAACGCTCGCAGGTCGGCGATGATACAACGCACTCGTGAGAAAACCTTGGCCGAACGGGACGATGAGAAGCCAGACAAAACAAGCTATCATCTTTTTCTGATACCCTCACATATCCAGACTATTTCGAGATTCTGATTGCAACCTGAAAGATGAGATGACCGCAAAGTGTACCAGCGTGGGTCTACGGTGCGGGCCAAGCAAAACTTTGACGATATTTCACTGTACCAAACTCTAATGAAAGAATGAGATGATGGGTACAAGGGAAAACAGCGTTTCTGTTCTCGTGACAATCCAGACCCAAAGCATACAAGCATCCTTCTGCCGCGTGTCATTTGGCCACCGCGTTCCAAAGGCGGCCGTGGAACAGCTCCGTCAAGAGGATTCCACTGGAAACGGGATGGCAACGTAACACCCGTTTGATTGAGTGATAGCGCAGAGCTCGCACCCCCCAAAATTGTACATTGTACGTGTACACAGCTTCTGAATATACTTGAAGTTAGTCATCGGGATGAACACGAAAAGGTCTGTATCATGCAATTTTTAAGCTGTCCACAGGCAACTATAGGGATATATATGATGAAGTATTTTCCTTCGGCAGTTTATGAAATAGAAATTCTGTTGGTGGCGCACACCTGGTTCACTAGAACACCCCCCGCCCCGTCTGTGCCCCTTTCATGGCGTCCCAAAGCCGGCTGCTTGGCGCACCGCCCACAAAACAGTCAATAGTAATATAGATAATTTGTCGAGCCTTATTTACCCTTTCCAGAGTCAAGTGGCAATCATCATACAGCTTTTATGTACTATTCAATGTGTTTAAAACAATCTTATTTTTTTTTAGGCCACATAATATGTCTGACATATCGAGCCGGCGTTACTGCATTCATGCTAATGTTACGTCGTCATTTAGCTAGCCGTTTGATTTACTCACAGATATGGCCTCTCCAACATGTTCGATTGTGGTAATTGCGCCAGTTTGAATGTTTAATCTCACGACCAATCCATTTCTGTACTTGTCAAGGTTCACCGGGCAGTCCCTCTGAGAAATGAGAATCGCGTGAACAGTTGCTGAATGGTCTGTCATCGAGGAGCCCAGCGCTTATAGCATGAGGAGACGGCTTATAGCGCCTTTATCGTGGATACGGTCGGCGGGCGCATCGCTGACTGCTCACTTCGAGACATAGAAAAGTGAAGACGCAGTCGTTTTCTTGGCTGGTGGCAGGATTGAGGAGACATGCGCCAAGATGGGTGAAAATGGAGGAAAACATTTTTGCTGAGGAATTCGCATTTTAACACCGTTAAAAGCTGAAAAAAGTTGATATGGCCACACTCAGGAAACTAGAATTAAAAAGTCATTGTTTTGCAATGATAAAGACGTACATTTAGTTGAATATTGACAATTTAACGTTTGATCGTGGGAATTTGAAGTTGATATAGTTCCTCGGATACTTTCAGACCAAAAAGAGTAGCACCAAGTTATTGAAAAAAAAAAAACAGGAACCTGGAAACTGGATCCAAATGATTTAGTGATGAACCAATACAAATGCACCCTGTCATCTTTTAGTTGCAGCAAGACAAACCAATGAGAAAAAGCCAGAACTGTGTCAAAATTAAAAAGGTACTTTTGGCTTTTGCCTAAAGTTTTGTAGAAGTCTGTTAAAGTCTACGGTATGTGTGTTATCTGGAGTCCACATAATCGGTAACATATTGTTTTAGTGGTAACAAGTAACAATGCCGCACTTTGGCTCCCAACAAAACCACACTGAGGCAAAGCGAGCCCAGCCAGCTTCCCTGGACAAACACGGGGATCGTTTGAGGGCTTCGAAGCAGGCCACTGCAAGCCTCCTTCCCGAGCTCGTCCAACATTTCTTCAGCATTAACGCTCGAGTGTGGCCAAAAATAGCAAAACCGGGGTCCCGGCGCAAAACCTCACAAGCATCAATCAGGTTTGACGAGCACTGGAAGTGCTTTGCTTGCCTTTGCGATCGGGTTTTGGTGCAGCAGAAGTGGCCTATTGGTGGCATTTTCGACAAGCTCCTTTGATCCGAACGTCTTGTGCAAGGGGGGCACGGTACATTGAATTTTTGTATTGGTGTGTCAGCATCTCATATCGGCACTTTCACCCTTTCTTGACTCATTTTTCACCTGCTGGACTATAAATCCCAAGCGACCGTGTGTATGCATGAGCATGCACATGATTGTCCTGAATTTCACACCAATCAAGGAGCTCCCAAGAGAGATGGTTTGCTTGGTACTGATACTGCAACTTGGTCCTGACTGACAGGAAGCATATCTCCGGAGACGATTTACAATCAAGTCTTTGTTTCATGTCGACAGACTTTTTACGGCGTCTCGGCAGCTCAAGAGCCTTCTTGAATGACACGCTCGTTTCTTGCATAGCTGACAAAACATGCCAGTGCGCCCCATTCAAGAATTTCAGGGGGATTAAGACAAGACAGACTTTAACATCTCACCATTCAGTCCCACAACACGCTGGGAGGACTGGATTCAACCTGGCAACCCTTGAGCATCCAGGTCAAACAGGACCCGAGCCGCACAGTCGGGGTTTTGGGATGGATTTCTTTGTGGAAAAAATTGTGGCTCATAATTGATAAATCTTGGCGTGCAAAAACAGGAAGGAATGAAATGCAAGTTTAAAGGCGGTGTCCGCCGAGAATGTTGCCTGCCTTCCACACTGATGCTTTCTGTTGCCTGGCAACAGATTCCAAGTCAATCCAATGAGAAAAAAAAATCTCGGTGAATCATCTTTCCTGGTAACTGGGGGTTTGTTTCAAATACGATGACAAGGGAGGGAACCCGAAAATGAAAATTGTCCAGTAATTCCAATATTAAGCAGCCCAACGCTGTCAGTCAACAACGAAACAACGACGTGAAGCTCTGGAATTCATCTCCATCGACTCTGGACTGGATTCGAGGTCAGCAGTTAAGCACGTTGTTGACAGAAATAGAAGTCCCCTTGAACCTGCGATCCACTGAAGCGCAAAGCCTTTCCTGGACAGATGCGAAAGCTTTCTTCCTGTCATTTGTTCAACTTCGAGCAGTTTTGTTTAAAATGCTAGTAGTGAGGCCAATGAATTCAAACACAGGCCCAATGTTTAGCACACAAAGCTAATACTGTCTATTCCGAGCATTGGCACACATCTCACAAGACAAGAATCCAAAGGTTCATTTTGCCAATTTGAGTTCCCAAGCATGAATGTCACATCATGCTAAGCTTCATTACACGAATACAACATCGCTCGATTATCCTGACTTCCATTAGACTTTCCTTCTTAGGAACTTATGAGTATTAGGCGTTTCTCCAAATACTACTGGTTCAGTTCAATCTTCCGGAGCCCCTAAAGTGACATTGAGGGGGAACAAAAGGATGAGAAACTTTCTCTCAAGGATGAGAATGTCTTTCCCTGGGTTCACTTCAATCTTACGGAGCCCCTAAAGTGGCATTGAGGGGGAAAAAAATGGACGAGAAACTTTCTCTCAAGGATGAGAATGTCTTTCCCCGCGTGCGCTAGCTTATTTACCTGCTTGAGCTAGCTTCCTGTGAAGGGGATTCTATTTTCAACCTGCTTCCCGTGCAGTGAGGCAATCGTTGCAGAA